GTAGTAGTAGTAGCAGCCGTAGTAGTCGTAGTATCCGTAGCATTCCGTAGCAGTAGTCGCACTAGTAGCACTAGCAGCAATAGCAGTAGCCGCAATAGTAGTGTAGTGGGGCCCCCCTCTCCCCTCCTGCCAACCACCTCTCCGAAGTGGCGGGTGGGGGCTGGTGTGGGGGAGGGCGGGGTGCGGAGGGGGGGGGGGGGGAATGATGACGTACTCTTTTTTAACAGCACATCCATTTTACTCGTTCTTTAGCTTCGTGATGTTGTAGTCCAAAAACCAGCAATGATGATGTTGGGTTTAGGTGCCAGGTGGTTGGTAGAGGGGGCGGTGGCTAGTAGTAGTAGCAGTAGTAGCAGTAGTAGCAGTAGTAGCAGTAGTAGCAGCAGTAGTGGTAGTAGTAGTCGTCGTATTATGGTTCTAACGTTTGCAAGCTTTTCTTAACAACTTTCATATTGGCTGTCTCGTGCAGGAAACATCCAGAAGTAGGACAAATATGCATACCGGTGTGGGCTTGCAAATTCAAGAACATGCTTTGTCTTGTGGTATGCATACATGAACAACTAGCCATGAAGAGCCAACCAAGACACCAACTAAACAAGCTAGCTAGCTAGCTACCAGCTAGCTGGCATTGCCACAAGTAGCTACCTGCCTTAGGAAACTGACTGCCTAGCTACCTGCCTAACCTAACTGATGAAACGAAGAACTAAGTGGCGAACGGGCTAGCAAACTACCCAACGAACACACAGACGGACTGACTCTGACTGGCTGGGTTGCTGGCTAGGTAACCTAGTTATCAGCCATGCTCTGGGCTTCTCGGATGAACAGAATACTTGTCGCACCGTTAAAACTTGCTTCTTGGCAAGAAATCGTGCAAATCGACTGCATACCCTCCAGAGAGCCAGGGAATCTTGCCAAATAGTCTTCAGATCAATTGAATGGCAAGGCGCGTGGCTTTATGGCAAGGATTAGCCGTTTGGCGTTTTCGCCTGCCTCAAACTGGCGGTGCTGCGAATGACAATGGTTGAAATTGTGTGAAGAAGAGCAGAACAAACTTCACACGTATCGGGTGAAACAACATCTGCAGTATCTGCAGGAGCAAGCCCACTGTGCGGAAACTTCTCAGCTTTGCTGCTCTGCAGAAAGTGTCATACTGTTTGTGGGCGTGCTTCGACGGCCGTTGCAGGCTATCCCGTGCTCCGGCCATCAGCAGTCTTGCCCGGTGCAGCTCAACAGAGCTGTCTTGTCTCTAGATCGCTTGCACCTTTGTCAGTTTGCGTACGGCCCACCCCAATTGCGAAGATTCAACAGGCGTGGGCGAACTAACGGCAAGCCATCCATGACCTCAACGTGCACGCGATGAAGCATTTCACGCCCCTCATCAGGCGTCGAAGTGGTACTGCTTCAAGGCGCCACCGTACATTGACCAGGCTTGGGATCCTTTTGTCGGTGAATCTCAATAGCTTGGCACAGCAAAGCCGCGACTTCATCTTGCAGACACGACGAAACAACATGGGCATCAAACTCAGCTGGACTGGTCGTGTTCAGATTCATGTTCACCACATACGGCGGTCGCTCGTGGAGGTCCATTCTGTTTATGTCTTCAAGCCAGGCGTCTTCACCGAGGAAAACAACAAAGGGCTGGCCTTGGTTGTAGGCTTGAGAGTTTCTGAGTGCCATTCTGAAATCCCGGCGGTTCGAGACCTCGAACGCACCCTCCACGCCCAAGCGTCGAGCATGCGATAGAAATATAAAGCGCTCATAGTCTTCTCCCCCCGCTGTAATGATGTCCAGCTTGCCCTTCAATTGTCCATCCGTTCTGGTGGTCCAAGCGGAGAACTCGTCCATAACCGCCGTCTCTTCGGCTTCGGAGCTTGAGGCACCTGAATCTCCATTCTGATTCGACATGGCTTGTAGGGCACAGGACGCGTGACGCTACGAATGCTGAACTCTTTTGACCTCTTTGGAGAGTCGGGTGCTTGACACAGTAGTGCCTGCGTCACCTGTCTCACCGGACGAGAAGGTTTCAAGAAACAGCTTGTCCTGACCTATCATGTGCGTACTTGGACTTAAGACCCCCTTTGCCTGTAGACCTGCAGAAGGTCTATCAGAAACCGCCAACCTCCAACCTTGACGGCTACCCCCCGCAGACCCACAAGCCCCAAGTATCACTTCGAAGGTCGTCCTGTTCGGCCTGGCGCTCGGCTTCCATGGCATCCGTTTCAGTTTGGCCCGGTTTGTCCTGGCTGGATGCAAAGCTGGGGTCAAAGATCTGTTCGATGGGAATCACTTATGTTCTCGGCTCGTTCAGCGATTAAGCCGTAATGCACTAGCACAGAGCGATGTGCGGAGTCCTGCGCGGCTGGGGTGGCATCTGCAGCTGCGCCCCACCTAAGACAACTGCCAGCCCAATTTGTCTGGCTGCTTACTTAGACTAACTTTGCGATGTTCAAAGGATGCGTGATCATGCACCACATGGCGATCGCCCCCACGTCTATGATCTAGCTTGCACCGCCTGCATGACTCAATCCCGCACACTGCCTCCCACATGGGGCCGCACTGAGTGACCATCCAAGAGCCTGTTGGATCAAAAGCCTGTTGGATCAAATCCTGCAAGGCGGCTTGCGCTTGCCATGACCGACGGGCATCCTGCAGTTATGGCGAGCAAAGGGCAACGCACCTCGTCACGAGCTTTTCTCGAGATCTCCAGAATCAGCCTTGCGCATGTGAGACACTTGAAGCAGTGTGAACAGGTGTTGAGCCACCCACCACCCAGCTTCCACAACTCTCCACCGACTGACAGCTAGCCTGTTTGGGCATCAGTGGACGGGGTATAACCTAATCCGTTGAGACGAGGGACCCCCAGCAACACTCAGTTCGGATGCCTTTGCCTGTTCTACGCGAATCAGCGAATTGAGCGCGGTACTCCTCTGACACGCACGAGAACTCGGTTTGCACCTTGGGCGACTAAGACCAACAAACAATACAAGTGCGGCCGATCTAACATCTGACGCAGTGCTTGCTTCCGGGCACTCAATTTCAATTATCCTGCGGCTTGTGATGGGATCTGCACCGTCTCATGGTGCCGTTGGACGGCACGTGGGGCCTTGCACGAGAGGGGCAGTTACGTGGCTGCACCAGCGTCACATGAGCATGAAGGCCTCGGTAGGAGTCTTTCAAACGTATGCAACAACTAGCCCGCAGCTCGATCCCCCTTCAAATACTTCACAATCATGTGACCCGTTTCCTGCAAATCTGCAGATCATCACAGAACTGATGAGTGATGCCCAACAGTGCGTGGGCGCGCTCGCCTCCTTTTGAACCTTTTCGGGCGCCACGAGAGCCAAAGCCTGGCAGACAAGTGCTTGGCGTGCACAACGTTGTGCTTCTGCAGAGCACCAAACACCTACCTCCTACAATGTCCTACAACTACATTATACTACATTATACTACATTATACTACATTACTTCGTCTTCTGCCTGGGTGTACAGTCTGTTGAACTCTGCCCACAGACCTGAGCCTGGCCAATGCGATGGGCCGTCTGTAGCAGGAAGAGCTCATTAGCCTCGTCACCTTCAGTCTGGTCTGCTGCCGTCTGCAGCTTTGGAACAAAGAATCGAGTGAAGATCTCTGGGGCCAGGGCAAAGACCCTTCACGAAAGCCTTGACGCTGGGCTCCTGTGCTTCCACCAACTTTCACATGCTCTTCAACTTGTGGCTCTAGTGGTGAAAGGAACGTGCGATCATCTGAATCTCCCGGCACTGAACATGTGTCTACCATGCAATCAATGCAGAGGCCGCCGACTCACTGATGACGGCCCATCTGGGAAGCAGGCGGAATGACTCCAAGGTGCTGTGCAGAAAGGTGCCGCTTGCTTCTTTTCTGCGTTTAGGGTGACGTCAGCAACCGGCAGAAGCTGAGTGCTCTTGGGGGAATGCTCAACGTCAGCAAGGTTCACGAATAACACGTTTGAAGACATGTGCTTGGAGGAGGGTAAGTCACGATTGGGACTGCTGTCCGTGCGGAACCATTGCTATTGTCGTAGCAGTAGCCTTTGGCTACTAGAGTCCTAGAGTGAAACGAATTCGAGAAACAGCGCTTAGTACTTAGGGCATCTTAGCGCCATATCGGAAGCTGCTACCTCTCCTTCCAGTTTCTGGGCGACCATTCAGAGCCTCGAACTGGGCGAGAACACAGATGCATGAGGCTCGCGAGGTTATGCTTGAGGCCGCTCATCTCAGCCTGACTAGGGGAGGGTGCCAACGACACACGCATGCAGGCACAAGAAAACTGTCTTTAGACATTGACGAACACTCCTGTCCGGTTCTGTACGTGGTCATGGTGTCTTTGCTGATTTGCAATATCGATGTCTGTGCGCCCAGCCTCCATGAAAGACTGGAACTTGCCTTGGTTCTTGATCATCCAGCTCTGATCCTGTATAAGTTGGCCGACATCCATAGCCTTCGCTTGCCCACGGAAGCGAAGGCAACCCATGAAAAATTCCTCCACATCTACTGATCCGCCTCCGTCCGAGTCCAGAAGCTTGAAGAAAGCCCAGGCATCCCACACATCCTCTCTTCTTCAATAACCGGGCCCGAAAAAGCCCAAGCTTTCTAAGACAAACCAAATACGTAAGGCAAAAAATTAAAGTTTTGGCATTGGCTAAGCAAGCATCTAGACCGAGTGCTTCAAAATATGTGGTTACAGACTCAGAGGTGATGTTCTCTTCGAACATCTGCAAAGTGATGTGTCCATCATCGGTAGCACCCAGCCGTCCGAAAAGCTCTTGTATTTTCCGAACGTGCTTCTCTTTGTCCATCAGCATGTTCTGCATAAGCGTCACTTGGTCGTTCTGTGCAGATTCAATGGCTGACCTTGACCACATTACATGTTGGATCTTGCTGTCATCACGAAGCATGTGTGTGTGTGCGCAAATTCAAAACATTGCTAAATCGAGTCAATGCACTGGCAGAACACCGCTGTCACCACCTCAAGCTCAAGCATGTTAATGTTTCTACGAAGACACCAAAGAAGGGCGAAACAGAAACGGAGGCCTGTGGAAAGACCTGTGAACATACAGGCGTCAACTTGAATCATGGATTTGGATGAATGGCCGCGGAAAACTTAAGCATTGCTTTATCATGTGCCTCACAGCTGTGCAAAATGTGCCACGGGGAAACTGAGGTCTGCTCGTTTAGAACGGCAAAATACGTGAAAGCTATATATCCAACGTAGCAAATAACCCAGATGGCTGATATCTCCCTGAGCGGATCCAGAGCTTGCTCCCAGCTGACACCACCAGCCAAGCTCATGAAAAGAGTCAGCATGCTGTCGACCAGCGAACCAAAATACCGCTGGGCAGCATCTTGGTGGAGCAAAGCAGTGTTGCTATCAGCTCTGTAGTCGCTGACCGCTTGCGTAAACAACACCGCAAAGACCTCGGATGGACAGGTTCAAAAACCATCGAATCATCGAAGAGAGAGGGACATTATGCTGCAACGACAAACTCGCAAACCCTAGGACTGGTTTAGAAAATCGTTTGCGATTGTCAGCGATGATCATGAACACATTTTCTTGAAACATCGTCTCCATTTCGATTGCATGCCGACTCTTGTGTGGTCACGTGCTTGCATGGCTTGCAGGAGCTGCAGCAACTGACCCGGGAAACCAAGACCATGATTCGGAAGGTCATGACATGGCCTTGTAGCATAATGCGGTACGTCCGAGGTCTGCCAAAAGAGATCGTGCACCCTTGAGGGCATGAAAGACATGATTTCTGACCATACAATCCAGCAGGTGTCGATCGTCTTCCTGGTGCGGCGCCAGGGCGGTGGCATGCTTACGTTTGTGCAGATGCTGAGCGACCGGCATGTCCCCGATTGTGGAAGCATCCGATACGATGGCCAATGTCCACATGGTATTGCCTGTTGGTGTGCACAAAAGCCCTTCTCGGCTGAAGAGCATTGTTCCAGGGCTTGCAATAGGAACTCGAATGGTGCTGCGCAATGCTAACGATGCGTCTTAGCAGCTGACCCCTCCTACCCATACCACCCACTACCTGAAAGTCGTGTACAATTCTCAGTCCATCAAGAATCAAGATATACGGGCGGGCGCATACGTGATGTTGCTTGGAACTTCCGGTGGAGCAATTTTATTGCGCTACCAGGTACTCATGGCAAGCGTCGATTCTATTGCTGGGGATCCAGACAAAGTGTTCACGTCAAAGACTCTTGCGGTGTTGCCTTGGGTATCGAGCATTTCCTGAGCGATGTGTGGTGCGTGTATTCTCTCCACCTCTGAACTCCAGGGACGTGGAGGTGCAGCTATGTGCAGCTCGTAAAAAACGAGGTGACGCTGACATTACTCTTGGTGCTGTGTCTGCGGGCAAGGGTTGCACGGATTTTGTTTTATTTTATGTTTTGGCGCGCAGATTTTGTCGTCGGCAGTGCGCTGCGCGCGAGTTTGTGCGCGGATCTTGTTTGAGGGAGATGGAACCTTCAGAGAATCCACTGCAAAATCCGTGAGAAAATTCGCCAGCAACCCCGCGAGACAACCGTGCAGAGCCATGCAAAGATTTTTCGCGCTGCCCACACAGCCAACCCTAATTACTCCTATTTTGGTGTACGTTCCAACTGAAGCGAATAGCAGGAATGATGAAGCAGCGAGTAACACAATCTGGAAATGGGTCCATGAGTTGCTCTCGTCGCTGCCTTCGAGAACGGTTTCGGTTCTTATGTTGGGTGCCAATGGTAAGACTGGATTGCTACGACATAATCCCGTGGGTAACGTCAATGAGTACTTTCATGTTGTGTTCGTCTCACATGAACACGAATGATGGTGTGGAGAACTTCGTTTGGCCGCTCACCAACAAGACGGTCATCCCGGATGTTGCAGATTCTTGCACAGTCTTCACCGCGAAGGCGACGATTCAGGAGTCGACGCTAACTACACCTGCTGCTGTGCAGCTGCCGGGGCATGCAGCTCTTCAAGAAGGCGCCGACCGGCAAGACCATGACCCTGGCTGAACAGGGCTTGAGGCTTCGAAACTAAACAAAATACAAAAAATATAAAAACATCTGCAATCCATAATATGCATCCCAGCAACATGATGGATGTTCTCACCCTCTCGGCCCTCCATTCTCTGGTTTGCATACGCTGTCTCTGCGCATCTAAGGATGTCTGATCCGGCACAGATACTTTGAAGTGTGGGGCATGTGAGCTTTGTTCTTGCCTCTCCCAGCCCCTGGAGGAATGCTCAGAGCTAGGCCGCAAGAAAGTCTGTTGATCAGTTCGCACTGTTGTCTTACGTAGGTACGTTGCTGGCTTGGTGGTGATTCAGGGGTGAGCCTTGCTGTCACACTTTAGGAGTGTTGCTTTTCCTATCTGGTCTCCAACAGGTCAAGATGTTTTGGGCTTTTCTTTTGGCTAGTAGCCGAAGGGAGTGCCAGGCGTTCAGTCTGCCCTTCAGGGATGGCTTGTACTTTGCACAACCTGGCTCCAAGCCGCTTGATGCAGGCTTGCCTCGCACGATTTTCCAGGTTACCGGTTGGTGCCGTAGTGAACCTTGACTTGTGCAGTTGTCCCTACTTTTGCATTGTGCTTTCCCTGAAGGCGCCACCACCCCATGCCGGCGGCCCAACTGTGCTAGGCGAGCGTTCGACCAGGGCTCCACCGTGGAGAATGGATGATGACTTCGAAAGGATGCATTGCCAGTCGTGGACGGCTCGGCATCTTGTGTGGCTTGGACATTTGAACCGAAGACGGAGATTAATAGTTACCAGTTACCATCTGCAGGGCCAGACTCTCTCGGTAGGCGGGGTGCAAATCGACGGAGGTCACTCGCCGCCCCCTCCGATGCGAAGATCGCGAGTTGCAAAGGAACGCGGATGCACCCTTTGCAAGCGTCAGGGCCTGGCGCTGAAGTCATGGCCCCCCCAGACGACCCCATGTCTGTCGTAACCTTTTCTGACACGCTCATTGGTTCGCTGTCAGAGGAAAGCGACTCAGGCCGAAATCGGGATATGTCGGTTGAGTTGTCTGCTCTGAGCCCGCTGCTGGTAGATTCTGGTGCTGTAGAAAAAGAGCGAAGAGCTGGCATGTGTGGACAAGCAACGCCTGTGCTAAAACTTGCATCAGTAATCTCTGAGATCAACCTTCAAGCTTTGATTCAGCCAGTCCAGCACTATGGTCGTAGTCCCTGCGCCCTCCCACCCATCCAACTTGAACCTCTCCCGACGAAGATCGTGAAATTCTGAGGCAGGGGTGAGAGGTCGAGCAAACCTGCGGCCGTTCGGTGATCCGTGCAGGTGAAGAAATGCTCAGCTGAACGACGGGAATCGGAGCACCTAGCGAACACAGCAAGCGCAAGGGAGTCGGCAGAAAGGCGTTCGTGGATGCAAACCCATTTGGCGTGGCTTCGACTTCGTTGCTTCCACGGATACAGTACTGAAGCAAAACCCACGCAAGCCGGCAAGTCACGCCAATACCAGCTTCTCAAAAAGAATCACCGGTGACCCAAAGGTTGGCAGCAAACCAATGCCGAGTCATCAACCCCTCCATAACTCAGCTTGGCTGAGTCCGACTTCTAGATTCTAGTGTGTTCCACCCAAGGAAGGAATAGCATGACCATGAGGGTTGTTGCAAGCATGAGTGTAATCATCGGTTGAGGTACTGGTTCGTGCCAGGTTTTTCACGACCTGGCCTTGCTTGGCGGATCACCGACAAAGAACCTTCGAGCATCTTTGCAAAACGTCCTGTACTTGCTTGTGCTGGGCTGTGGGCTGGCGGCTCGCCCGAGACATGAAAGCTGACAGCAAGGGCCCCCTTCTGTGGCGGTGGTAAACTTAGGTTGACTACGGAGTACAAGAAAGGCAGAACGGCGCTGCTGAAACGAAGCGAATAGTCTAGTAGGAGTCTAGTATGGTAGAGCACGGCAAGGATCGAGCGAGCCTCGGTGGGCGAGAAACGACATGGTGTCTAAGTCTGAGATTTTTCGGGTATCAGAATCGTCAATCACGAGTCGTGGTTCGCTTAAGAACCGATCTCAAAGTCAAACGATACCTTAAACCGCCGCTTTGCAGGTCAACGGGCACCGAGCCGAACAAAAGCACCAAAGCTGCAGTCCGAGCTGTGGTGTGTCTGCACTCGCATGATGGTAAGGCCACTGCGTAGACGATCAACACCAGGAGCGTCATGGCCCAGACCAGTGCTTTCAGAGTGTGGAGGATCGATGTGACCAGCATCCGAAGCGCTATGACGAAGCGGAAGATGCTGACAAACTGTGCGGTTCTCAAGATGCGGCTGAGCCGTACTATGCGGAATGACTTCAAGCCGCTGACGCCGGCAATGGCATCAAGGTCAGAACTTCCTGTGTCAGACAACACAGCACACGAAGGATCACAAAGGTAAGTTAGAGAAGAACAAGTAACCTAATTTTTGGTCCCCCAAAACCAGCAAACTCAATATAATATACACACACACAACCATACACATGCAAGCTGTAGCTGTAACAGGATGTGACAAGATATTACAAGATACCAGCCTGTGATGTCCACAACAACTTCCCAGAGAGAGCTCAAAACAATAAAGAGATCAAGCCAGCTCCAGGCCCAATCGTCAGAGCAGAAGAAGTGCAAGCCGTCTGCCGCCAAGCGCAGCAGCAGCTCAACTGTGAATATCGCCGCATAGAAGTACTGAATGACACGGAACTCCGTCGGGCGTGGATCACCATGATCCACACTGCGTTGCACATCGAATCCTATGAAAACGGCGTTTGTCACCACCACGAAAGCAAAAAACGACTCGAAGACTGGATGATGCACCATGTGCCAGATGCAGCTGTGGCAGCCGTACCTCGGCTCGAATCCCTTTTTTGCGTTTTTCGGGCTGCCTGCAATTGAGAACGTTCGTCGCATTTGCCCTCGTCCACCGGCAGGGCGCACCTTCTCTCCAGTGAAGCCATTTCTCGCTGGCGAGATATCGGTCTGACTTGGCTTCACTGGACCCACTGGAACGGATTGAGATTCGTCTCCCTCCGTCTTGGGTCGGCTCATCTTGCTGCCCATGCTGGTCCTCCTGTTCAGAGTCAAGCCTCTCAGCACTTCATCTTGGAAGTCCAGTCGGCGAATGACCTCCTCGTGCTGCTGCCTGCAATGGGCAATGAGCTCAGGGCCGTGCGATGAGACGTCTTTTTTCTCTAGGCGGGCCTGAGCAGCTCGGGCAGGGCCGAAGGAGCGGATGGACCCTCCTCGCCCCTCCCCTCTCCTGGCAGCGGCTCGGAGGGCGCCAGGGGCACCGCCATGCCGTCTGCGGGCGAGGCAGGATCGATGCGAAGGCCGAGAGAAACGGCCTGAGAATGCCTGCGTTTACGTTGTCTGGCTCGAGTGCTTCTGCCACTTATGTCTATGCACGTGGCTTTGCCCGAGCTTGCAAAATAAACACTTCACTCTGGCTGTGTGGGTAGGCCGGCATTCTGGCTCCTGCTTTGCTTTGCGTTCATGTCCTGTTTTGATTCTGCGATAGGCTGCGGTACTGTTCCAAGCTGTCGCAGGTCGAACGATTCTCTTTTGGAGAACCATCACGGTTGGTGGCCCATGGTCAGTGGTATGCCCTCCCTTTTCCCTTGCTGTCCACGAAGATCATCTCGGCACAGAGTTCCAGATCTTTCGGGTCTTGGTAATCGAAGATGTCAATCCTTGAAGGGGAGTTCAATGTTCGAAACATGCACACCTTGAAAGATGTTCTTTAAGGTATTGAGGAGATCTGAGGAGGCTGCAGGATTGCCTTTTTGGTCCGCTGACCCAGCTCGTCAAAGAGCACCTTGTCTCTGCCAAGTCTCTGCCTATTTGCCAAACGACCTGTGTCTTGTATGACTAAAGGGCGCCACGCTGACATGCACACAGCAGAAATCACGTTCGGAGGTTTGGCTCACTTCGTTCCGTGACTTCACACTCTAATGGCATGCTTCCTTTCCCAGGTTTCCCGGGCACGGCACCTTGACCTCCTGAGAGTTCAGTTTCTTGATAAGCCTGGCGAAACGGGAGGCAACCGCAGGCTCTGAGTGTACGTGTACCATTGTATGATCTGGGGCAGAGTAGGATGGCCCAGGCATGCTGGAATCCCTTGCTACCCATCCAGCATGCCACGAAGGCTGCCACTTGCGTCCTCGTCATCAGGAACTTCTTGCATCTCTTGCCTAAGAACATTCGAGGCACGATGACTTGCAGCTCTGAGGGCTTCTTTGATGAACTCGTCGGCATGACGTTGCTACTTGCCGGTTCCGCCTGCTGCACATCCAGGCTGAGCTGAGGTTCAGGCCGATGTCAATGTTCGGGTCAAAATACCCACCCTGGGTGAAACGATGTCAATGTCGCCTATGGACAAACAGTTATCCTCCTGTGGATTTCGCAGACTTTAAGGCATTCATACGGAGCTGCTGTGCAGACACGACTGGTGACTGGTTGCTCCCAAGCTTCAAAGCACAGTCTGTTCATCCCCATCTGTGCGGCATTCGGGCTCCCATCATGAAGCTGAGTTGCAACTGCTGCACATATCCCCACCACTCCGTATTTAACATCCCCAAATCCAAAGCTCGGCTACGAATCCAGGTCCCCCGGCCGCATGGCCCTTCATGTCCGCTGCATCGTCGGATGCAGCATCCTCGAGCACCTGGAGCGAAAGCTCGGAGGTTCGTGTTACACTGATCTGCCGGCACCCGACACGACTGTGGCCTACCGGGGCAAGCAAATCCAAGCTCGAGCATTCTGTGTTCCTGCATCCTACAAAGTCTGGGCTGCGGTTTCTGGAACGTAGATTCACTCACTGCTACCAGCTTCAAGTGGAGCTCTCTGGAAGAGCCCTGCCTTCACAGTGATCTCCTTCACGACCTTGTTCAAACGAGCTGATGGTCCAGAACAGGCCACTTGCAGATGCTTGCGCTTTTGTGCGCTCCATCATCGAGCACAAGCTTCAGTAGGCAACTTCCCTCTCTAGCTTTCCTTTCACCCTTCTTCTCCCGAACTGGGGGAGCACAGTATTCGACATGGCATCAGACTCAGATCACCACCTTTGGCGGCAACAGATCAGCGATCATAGCCTGGTCTTCCTGGAGAGCACCCACATTGCACGAGGATTGCATGAATACTGAATACCTTGATCATCCATTGCCAGACGCCACATCAGGAGCAATGCGATGCAGATCGAGAAATGTCCCTGCCTGCGGAAGTCCCGACAGCAGCCTTGGACCGTCGCTGCAAGACTGCATCTTAGAAGTTGTGGTTGCATCGAGAAGTCAAGCTGTGAATTATTGCTGTCTCAGAATGACTGTCCTCGAGTCTGAAGGGTTGAGCTTCATAACCAGCAATAGCACTGTCGAAAGAGTGCAACAACAGGAAGAGCACCAACAAGAAAAAGAGAGCACCGGCAACCACCTGTGAAACCCCAACATCACCGGCAGCCACTGGCGGGTGACGGGCGTCATCATCATCGATGCCCAGAGTGTCAGCTGCACATGACTTCCCGGTTCGTATGCCCCGCATGAACTTCGGAGGTTGCCGTGTGAGGAGCTTCTGCGCGGCGCCAAGCCGGACTTTCGGAGGGCCAAGGGAGCCATGGTCTGAAGCCAAGAGCTCCTGAAACAAGGTTCGTCTTAAATAATAGTAGTAATAATAATAATAATAGTAATAATAATAATAATAATACTAGTAATAATACTAGTAATAATAATGATAATAATATTAGTCTTTGTTCTTGAATTCTGGGTTCGAGGTTTGCACGTGTCGTGGGATTCATTGCAGGGCAGCCTTCAGGTTGTACAGGTTCGGGGAGGTTTAGCAGGTTTTTTTTGCAAGGGGTATCGTGTTCAGCCGACTGGTTCTTCGTTTGTGAGGGCACTTTACAACATGCAGGCACAGGAATACTTTGGGATGCGTATATTGCTGCGCAGTTAGGGCGTCGTTCTACCTCACCGCCTGTTCTTTGTCACGATCAAAACATGATCTCACAAGGATGTCAGGATGTCCACATCAAGGGAAGGCGCTGAGAGACTGACACAAGAAAACCGATTATCATCAGCTGCATTCTAAACGCCAGAAGATCTGCCAATACACGGAAAACATCCGGGAAGATCTCAGACCAATGATCATCAATACTGTTCACTGTCAATCTCTCCTCCTCGAAACCACCCCCGCAAGGTGCACATTGCGTACATCAGCAACATCCCAAATGCCCCGGGGCTTGAAGCCCCTAATTTCCCCAGGCTGCCTTCATCAGATTGGGCCGTGTGTCCTCGACCAGAGCCTGCCCGAGTTCCATGCATCTCAAGCAAGCACGTCTTCCCGCCAAGAGGTAAAGGTCGGATTGCCGGCTTTGAGGGATACTCGGCCGTGAGCCAGAGATTCACTGGCTTGAGGCGCTGGGCCAGGGATGAAGCCATCCCCTTTGCCGTTCGAACCCAGAATCTATTGCCAGACTGGACAGAGGACCGGCCTTCATGATGTCTGCTGTTTTTGTAACCTGCAAGGAATGCGAGCACGACGGCTGCACGGCTTCAGACACTGCTCCCTACATGGCATGATGCGGCAGCGCAAGTCCAAGCCTGTGAGCTTGGACATCCTTTCAGAAGGCTCAGCGCTATGGTGAACTGCTCCTTTCATTCCGGCAGCAGCATTACAGCTACTCGTCGCGCCACTTGTGGACTGTGATGATTCCCTCATGCGACTGAATCTCTGCACGTGGATCCGACGCTGGCACAATGCTGAGGGTGTCCAAAAAACATGGCCAATTGTGGAGGTTGAGCCTTTTCGCTAGCTCCCGTCCTGGATGTTGAATCCCGACTGGGTGGAGGCCACCATGTCAGCCATGTCGGCAAATCTTGGAGCAAGGTTGATGAGGAAGTCACCATCGCAGCAAAGAGACACCACTGAGGTGCAGACTGCTTGGATCCTTGCCTCCCCGACATGGACAGGGAGGTCCTTGGCCGCGTTGAGAGCTTTGGGATTTGGAAAACGGAGCCTCGCGGCTGGGGCCCCTGGCGCCAAGTCGACTTCCTCTGTCGTTTTGCTTTTCTCCGCTGCCTCGGTGCCGGCCGAGTCCGAGGACCGGGAGCTTCCCATTCGCTCAGAGGTCCTGGCTTTCTGCGCCTCCTTGAGCTTTGTTCTCATTGCTTCCATCTCCTCGCAGAAGCCAAGGAGTCAGAGATCTCAAAGGCTCATCTCGGATTGCATCCCGCCTGTTGCTGCTCTTCCCTCATCTTGGCCATCTTCTCCCGAAGAAATGCCGGCTCCTCGCAGAAGCGTGCGTGTTTTCGAAGCGTGGTTTACGAGTTAGACGAGCTGCTGTTTATGGTTCAGAGTCGCGGAGGTTTGGCCAAGGCCCGAAGTGACATGAAGGGGCATCGCTCTACCGATCTGGCACCGATACTCTTTATAGTTCCCACCAGGAACAGCATCGTGAGTCAGTGCAGAGGTTGCGCTCGCAGCATCTGAACAGTCCCATCTCAAAGCTGCTCCTTGATCAGCTGTTCCTCGGTGACTGGTTCACAAAGCCGGGCGGTTGTGGCTGTGGGTCCACGGCATCTGCATAATTACAAGTGGCACCTTACGGAGTAGTGTCTGCAACCCTCGACGGCACTGCGTGTGTACTCTGATGCTGGCTCCTTACACCCAGAAATGCTTGGATCTGCGGTCCAAAGGTTCTACTTCATCTTGACATCTGAGCTTCCCGGCTGCCTTTTCTCGCCAGTCTGCTGCTTCAACCTGTGACTCCTGCAGCGCTTCGAAAGCTACGGGCTGAGTGACCAGGACCAGTTCGCAACCTAGCCATGGCATCACGCCTGTATCGCACGAGTCTTCATCATAAACCGTAAGTGGCCAGGGCAAGATGAGTCAAGGTTCAGGATCCATCTGTCGGCCGGAGGATCTGTATATTTGCTTCAACAGGCTCCTCCAGCGACTGCTCCAAGTCCTTGTTGAAAGACTCCGACTCCTGCCTGGAGTTACTCGTATGGAGTTCTGATGACGGATTGATACTGTCACATTTACAGGCAGGAAGCAGTCAACTTGGAACCCTCGCGATCTATCAATCGACGAGTTTCCTGATGGTGCAACTGAACTGATGGCCATCATGGCCCCAGGCCCTAGATGCCGGTTATTGCACTCCCGAGCTCGTGGCCACATTCGGGTCGTCTGCATCAACGCCTGCAGAGCTATTTCAGGGTCGCCAGCCAAGAGATTCCAACCGTTTCTCTGTCTTCAGCTCAATGCGTCAGCTGTCCAGCCACTGATGACTTTTTCAAGCCGCAGGCTGTTCAGGCCAGGCATTTGTCCGGCTGCTTACGAACTACTCATCTGAGTGCTACAGTGCGCAACTGCCTGCATGGTGGTACGATCTGCACTCACATTTTCTGCATTACACCGCATTGACTGAACAACAGGCGTACAACAAGTGGGCTGATGCGTCTCACTTCTTCTCCACGGTGCCTGGCTGTCTTGCAACAATAATCATGGTGCTACGCAGCTTGGACAGAACACGAAGCACTCAGAAGTGCATCAATGCACTTCTGCATCTCACTGCCGCAAGCGTGCCACCGTGAACGGTTCTTGGCCAAGGCCCCGAAGAAGCTCTTGATTCCGGAGAGCCGACCTTTAACCGAGCTCGGCTACTGGGTACGACATGTCGCGGAGAGGGGCGAAAAGGCATCAGCTTCCCGCTTGCCTTGCTCTGCCTCACGATGGGCTACAGCGAGGTAGACCATGGCCAAGCCAAGGAGGCAAATCACCTTTGTGGGCTTTGAAGCGTGCAGCTTGGCTGCAGGCCTATGTCGTCCCTGCAGCCACCTTCTACTTACTATTACAACGTAACGGCCTTTCCCTCGCTGCACACACTTGATTCATGGCTCTCTTTGCCAACGAAAGGCTAGAACCCCTTTCCCCAAATCTTTCTCGGAGGTAACCGTTTTCTATGTTGCTACTCGACTTGAGATATGAATCGTCGATACTCCTCGACCCCAGAGCTCACGAGTCCCCTGAGCCCAGAATCGCATGGACCTGGAAGGCATGCAAGTCCTTCCACCCATTTCCGCCAAGGTGCCGCCCGAAGCAGGAGATCCCAAGGCAGAGTTGTTAGCTCCTGCGCCTGCAGCTTTCAGACAAAAAGACCTTTTGCTAGGAGTTGGGCTGCCTGACCCCTGAACAACCACAGCTACTTCTTTCTGCTGCTTCCACAAGTGTTGTAGCTGTCGTTCCAAGCATTGTCACCTACATACACCGTCATGGAATCTGCGAGCCCTTAGCCTGAACAACCATGCAAGCCAATTCGCACAAGACCTCCCGCTCCGCACAAATCAGCTTCTTCAGAGCACTTGCTGCAAGAACGGCTTTGTCTTTGGAACCTTGCGTTGGCCTTTGGCCGCTAACCCGATCTTCCCTCCCATCTTTGTGAATGGCGTTGGCCTGCCCACGCAGAGATGGGATGGGCCGTCCTGGTGTAATCCTGGAAATGGCTGCAGAGCGAACTGAGGAAGTGCATTCCCTAGGCATGCCGCGCAACGAAGCGATGCCAGGTTGCTGCACACTACAGGCGCAGCACGCCACAAACAACTGAATCTTGGGAGCTTCTTTGGCTGAGCTCGGTGGCTGGGGGCTTCAACGACCCAGCATCGATTGCACACAACGACTTCGGAAAAAAGACTAGGGAAAATGTTTCAAAGATGGCTCAGAGCTACGATCTGGATGACGGATCACTGTTCCAAACAGAACTCGTGCAGCGGAGTTTCACTCATAACCTTTCAGAAGCAAGCATGTGCTAACCCCACACCTCGCATGCTATACTCCCCCCTATGCTTTCACCCCATGTCTCAACACGCCGAACAAATCAAGCCTCCAAACCGACAAAACACACGGCGTCTCCCAAAACAATACAATAATCCATAACACAACCCCAAACACACAACGTCTCCCAAAACAAATACAATTATCCATAATACAACCCAAAACCCAAACGAAACCAATATCCTAATGAGATGTGGGGTCAGCGAACTTCACAGATCAAACCCTGAAGGAACTTGAGCGCTTCTCCTTGCGTCCAGCTGCGGCCCGAGGCCTGGCAAACATCGCTGTACGAACGGCTCCCGGCTGTGCTCCGGACCCGTCCGGCCCCGTCGTGCCTAGCGGAGACTCCACAGCTCGCATCTGCAAGCCAAGGCCTGGGACCAGCAAAGCGCAACTCTTCGCGGGGCCGCGGCTCGAGATCCCCGCCTCTGCTAAAGCCCTCTTGGGTGCCTGTGAGCTCCACTGATGCGACACCTGGCGTAGCAGCGCAGCAAGAGCGAGCAGAAGTCTACTACGGGTAAAGCAATAACAGCCGCCAGTCAGGCAGCCAGCCCCAAGTTCGAATCGCGAATTTAAAGAGTCATGCAGACCCTCCCCCCTCCGGGCCTGTAGCATGCGCATGACGCGTGGCCGTCAGCTGGGGGCCGAGGCCCATCCCGGAAAGTCTGTCCGCACCGAGGGGTACCTTCCAGGTTGTGATCCCAAGCATGCGCAAAAGCAGGCGCGATTACCACGCCCGTCCATGTCTCAATGAGATGCTCTGGAATCATGATATCAGCCAAGAAGACCCCACGACTTTCCGACATGCGAAATCTGCAGAGAGTAAGACTTGTGCATCTGTCTTCGCAAGGACCGGAGAACGGGCACGAGCCTCGAGAACTGTTGCAGAGGTGTCTGCATGGCTGGAGGTCAGCAGCAGTGCCGGCAGGAGCAGCTGCTGCAGCATCCCGTTTATGACCTCGAGCGTGTATTCGGAGGCTGAGGCACAGCCACAATCTTCTGGGTTGTGCCGACTATCTTGGACATTTGGGGCATGCAAGGGCAGCAGCTTGCTGACCAAGGCACAGCTATCGGATAAAGGGGAGTATGGAACAAGCCAGGCAGCTCGGGTCCAATTTGAGCTGTCAGTTGCTGCAGGCACTCATGCCATGGAGTTTGCAATCTGGATGTCACAACTCGAGTCACAACAGTCACAAGCGGGCCGGAGTCGAGAAACATATTTGGAATGGGATGGGCGACAGCGACAACACATACACACATCGACCAGCACTGAACGTAAAAATACCTGTCGATGATACCGCAACCTATTCGGCTGCAAAGAAATTCTTGAACATCGCAGCAGCCTTCAACATTTAGAAACCAAACCCCCGCCCTGCGCCTCCTGAGCTTGCTTCTCATCCCGGATGTGCTGCGCCATCTCTTGCTTGACCTGCGCTGCGGGTAGGCCGGGTAGGGTCTGGGATGGCTTGAGGCTTTTGGCCATTGTTGGCTGCTGGGGTTAGTGTGCATCATGAGGAGATTGGATTCGTAGACGGAGCAGCCATAAACTGGATTGGCTCATCCCTACGTTGCCCTCGAAGCACTCACGAAGGCGAATACGTCCACACGTGAACAGCTTTCGATCGTACGAGTAAAAGAAACTCACATCAACGTATATCATCACACCACGTTGGTTTGGATAGCTGTTGTTCGGGAGGCTTGCCAACGTTGAGAGTCTGCCGGCGCAGAGCTCACCTTTGACAGGTTCGTGCCTTGAGGAGCTCGCCCCCCAGGCGGCTGATCTTCTCCGCATCCTGGTGAGTTTTGCTTAACGGAGGCCGACTTCGCCAATTTGTTGAATAGCACGTGGTGTCGATGAGGGCTCGGGGTACTCGGAAAGCAACAGAAGAAGCATGGCACGGCTGTCGTCGGCCGACTGCTTCAGCATGTCGCCAACCTGCAGATTGCAAGGCGGGTTGATGCGTAATTAGGGAGCTCCAGCCTGTTCTGATGGAGATTGCAGCCGAGGTGGGCCTTCAGCCCCCTGTAATCTGAGAGGACCTCCTCTAGGGTCACGAAGAACAGCTCCTGACGGCGACAGCACACAGCGCAGCGCAGAATTGCCCGGGACACTCTAAGGCGAGACGATCCTGTCTGTGCCCTGCAAGCAAGTTCCCTGAAACGCAGAGCCTGATGTACGTCTTCGATCATGCTGCGCAATGTGCGAACCCTGCAGCCAGCGAGTCTGAATTGGAGGTTTCGGGCTTTTTTGAGAGCTGAAATCTGAAAGCAGATCTAAGCGCTTCACAAGGTGTCAACCTTCACACGGTCCAAGATGTCGTAGAGCATGTCACGAACATCCTCAATGGTCCCCGGTGTGCTCGTCAAAGTCAGATAAAACACTCACAGTTCCGCTCTGCAAATGGACTCCGAGATCCCAACCATCTTCTGAACGCGGGTATTCATCTGGTTCCTTTGCTTCTGGATAAGTCGCAAACGCGATGTCACAGAGGGCTGTCTATGCGTGTGCCCAAACAGGATCGGCTAGCACACTGAGCTGCTTGCACTGTACGAGTAGCACCCCTTTTGCAACTGGCATGTTGACTAGATGGGGAAGCACTGCCGACTTGCGCCACCCCGGCAAGCTTTGCAGTGCTTCCTGAGCCCCCACTTGGAGATTCGCCAGTGGTGGCCGGCGAATGTCAGAATGCGGTTTGCCCGGACAGGACAGGACTGAACTGTATGGAGAAACTGGAATGCCTGGGCAAGCAGCACTTCTGAAGTTTTTCCTGTATCTGGCAGGAGTCTCCAGTACCAAAGTCACAAAAAACACTCAAGAATCACTCATGGAACTTGCGGGCCTGCTTCTTGTCATGATTAAGCTATTCGAGGCTTCTTTGTCCGCTGGAACTTGAGCACGCCCTCGCGCACAAGCTCTTCCAGCCGGTCAAAGTCTCCGCTTCCGCGCAGGTGGCCCCACATGCGATGATCGCGCCACTTGGCAGCTGGCATCACCACCGAACTCACACCAGCCAAGAATTGGGCAACTGCGTGCACTATGGCATCCAGCTCTTCGCAGGGCAAGCTTGGCCAAGCTGGATCACCAAGAAGCCGAAATACTGCCACAGTAACGGTGATGCCTTGGAGGCGTTGAGCCTCAGGCGCCTCTCTCTTCTGGGGTTGGCCCGAGTCCTGGCGATGTAGGACAGGGCGAGCTTGCAAGGGAGTTGCGACTGAAGTTCTGAAGTCTGCACCGAGGGCATATGTCAGAAGACGTCGACGTTCCTCAACGCTCCCCGCCATCACCAGGGTCGGATCCTCCAAAGCTGCAAAGTAGGCATCGATCAAGGTGTGCAACGTTGTGTGGGCCGCAGGCAGCTCTGCATCAGGATCAGCTACCTTCTGCCTATCAGATGCCTCTGCCGCTCTCGTCAATGCGATGTAGGAGGCGTCCAGCTTCTCGATCGCAGACTCTCTGGCCCGCACATTGATTTGACTGATCTGCTCTGCCCAATCGTCAATCTGAGCTTCTGTTACCGGCTTCCGGACCGTCAGCATGTATCCGTAGTCTGCTTTCTCCACGGAAAACTCGTCTCCACCAGCCTGCCAGAGGCTAGTCGAGAGCTGCGCAGCAGTCCCGCCCAAGGTGGCCACAGCTTTCACCGTCTCAACGGTGTAAACTGGCCCCGTCTTCTTCGCCAGAGGAAGCACTTTGCGTAGCAGCGGGTCCACCTGCACTGAATCTGTAGCTTGTAAACATGAAAGCACCCTGCATACCATCATCATAAAAGTATACAGAATTGTAGCAGCATAGTATTCATTCTTTGACGATGGAGAACCGAGCTCTTACCAATGCCCACCTCCACAAGTTCTGCAGGATCTGTGCGAAAGAACCGAAGCTTCAACTTGGTTGGGAAGCTCGACATCAGCGTCAGATGGCTACTGCCGTACCTGGACACGGCAGGGCGGTTTGGGAGCTAAGACCCGTAAGCTTGAGGAAAGAAGGACCTTCGCACTGACAGAAACGTCGCAAACCCGAGTAGCTACTTACGGTGCTTTGCGAGGCCTCCCCTACGGAAGGAAATCACAAGGCTGCTCTGGTGATGCTGACTGTTGGTAAGTGCATAAAACACCAACATGATGAAAAGCCCTATCTGCCCACGATGGCCAGCATGTCGATCCCTGCATCACGAACTGATGGCAAATACGACACAGGAATGCTTCATATTCATTGACATACAATTGCTGTATCGCGAAGGACGATGAAAACGCAAAGAAAGCTCTCTGGCGCAGGCCGTTAGGCACATGACAACTCGAAGCTCCACAGCTAGTCACCAGGACCGGAAGCAGCACTCGCATTGTAGTGGCAAAGCCACCATCACCGCTGGAGACACAATGCAGCGGCAACCGCATGCCCTTCAAACACATAGCGGCAATAGGCATGCAACGAAGAGATGCAAACCAAGGCAAGAACTATGAGAGTTTGAAGGCTGCATACTTTCGCCGGGTCATCTCGCGGCCGCTTGCATCGAAGCGACGTGGTGAGCAGCGGAAATTTGTTTTCCTTTAGGAAGTCTGCCTCTACATCAAGTGTTTGCTCCGATCTCAAGGCTCAGCGCCCTCCAGATTCAACCAACGTTCGACAGCCATGAATGAGATGGACAGGCGAAGATCTTGGATTAGGATTTTCATGCCTCAAACATACCCTCCTGCAATCTGCAACCAGAGCCCGAGGCCTGCAAAGGTGAGCCAAGACCGAGTGAAGCTCGGTCGTGGAGCAATTCATTTCCTTCGCGGCCTCTGTCTCATGCAAGCCCAAGCTGTACGGCTGCCATTCGCCTCGGTATGCCGCGCACGCAGGTGGGGAAGCCACTTCGGCGCTGGTAAATCGATGAAGCCTTCAAAGAAGTCTTCAGGCCCTATGAACTGGCCGACCCTACAGCCAAGGAACTCTGAGATGAGTGTGTCTCCAGCGTCTCCTCGCTCTTGCCCAAGGCAGCCAAGGCATCTTCGCTGAGGAGATGGCGTTTGTAGGTGGTCGAGTCACCTCAGGCAGCTCATCCTTCTCACCGCTTGCATCAGATCTTGCTCCTGCTGTAGTTCTTGCTGCTGATGCTTAGACAATGCAGCAGCGCAGTGCCCGGCTTTTTTGACATGGCACCCAGCAAGGCCACCAACAGGCGTCGCACGACACTGGCCTCGCCAAAATGTAATAGAGGCATCTATTGCAGCTTTATCCCGAGCCAAGACAATATCAGAGTAAATCTGCGCGGCCGAGCCTGTGTGCCGCCACCTCTACCACCGCTTTCTAGCCACCGCATGGCTTGGTAGTCCTGGGGCTATCTATAAAGCTGCGAAACCAATTCGGCAAGCGCTGCAGGTCTGAACAACGAAGCTGATTTCAGGCGGGCTGCAAACGGGAACACGAGCAAGTCAACCCGGTACAACATCCGGGGCCATGGACTCATGCAAATGCGCCGAAACCCGGTCGTCCCAAAAAACTCGAAGCATCTCGAAGCGCACAGGCTCGCAGCACAGATACTACAGTCCTTGCGGTTGACCAGGGCAACACACTTTCCTCGCCCTCCGTCTCGAGAGCAACGTCCGGTCTCCTGGATGTAGTTCCTTGCAAGGCTTTCGGCAGAGGTTCGCGTCTGAAGAAGACACGGTGTCGCCACGAACGTAGCAACGTAGCCGCATGCATGGCTCAAGGACGCAATTCACCGCTCGGCGACTCCCAAATCCCATGGCAACCAAAGCAAGGCCACAATGAATGCCAAATTAGAGGAAGCCAAGGGTCTCAATGCTTTTCGGTAGCCCGAAATGTACCACAAGGCGAATGTCCGGCTTGTCCAGTCCCATTCCGAACGCCACAGTTGCGACCACCACTTTGACCTGGCAATGACGGGAGGAAGCCCAACAAGAACGTTTCAGAGTGAACCTACTAGAAAAGATGCGTAGCAAAACGGGAACAGAACTCAGATACGAAGGGATCCGCAGTTTAAGAAAGCCACCTTGCCCGACATAAAGTTCTCCTGCACCGTGCTGCGCACCTCCGCGAGCATGCTGCCATGGTACGCACATACACCACCCTTGACATAGGGCCGTAGTTGTTTGGCAAGCTGGTCAGCTGTATCTCGCCTCCAAACGTAGATGATCACTGACTCAGCAGGGTTGACATCATGACGCAGGACCTGCACCAGCTCGCGAACTTGGCTGTCGGCATCTGGGACGCTGCGCGCGTCCATGATGAGGTTCCCGCGCTGGACTGTCGGCTGATTGCTCTCTCGCATGAGCTCGTCCACTGTGAATGTATTGTCGCTGCGAACCACAGTGTCCAGCTGCAGTATGTCACACACGGATTTTACAGTGGGCCTGGTGGCGGTGGCCGTGAGGGCGAGGATGCGTCGTGCACCAAGGGATTGGACGAGGTACTCGTGTAGGCGGAAGTAATCTGGACGAAAATTGTGTGACCATTCAGAGACACAGTGGGCCTCGTCGATGCAAGCGAGAGCAATTGGAGGTAAGCCACAGCCATCGAAAGACCACGTCGCCAGCCTTCGACTTGTGCTCGCACATTTCAAAAATCAAATTGGCTGAGTGTCAAAAATGCCCTGTGGCCTCTCCGGTGACACGAAGAGGACGTCAACCAGTCGCGCCCGCACGGCGCGCATGACTTCACGCGCCGAGTCACGGGACTGTTGGCCACTGCAGATGGCACCTCGCCTTACAGTTTTTGCAGGCGAGGTGAGACAGACTGCAAATGTCTGCAATGACTTTTCCAGCCAAAGTGCAAGCAGCCCGGGAGGCGTGCGAGTTGGTCGGACATAAGGGAGACCAGCGGGGAGACCACAAGTGTGAAACCCTCCTCCCGCAGCCTTAGCGCGGTCACATAGAATGCGTCAGCACTGTCGACCACCCAGCACAGTAAACGGCCGAGCAGCAAGTACGCTGGCAGTTGGTAGCAGAGGGACTTTCCACAGCCAGTTGCCAAAAGCAGCAGTGTCCGATGATTGGCCAGGACAGATAAGATCGCCTGCCATGAAGCTCACGTCCAAGAACGGTACTAGTACTGCAACACTTTGAAAAGAGCGGACACTCTTATACCGGGGCCTCTCGCTGTCCCTGACGGAAAGCCTCGTGACCGAAGACCTGCAAAGGCTGCGCACTTCTTACTGCATAGCACCAAAGACAGCTTGGACCCTTCCGGACGCCAGCACGCCTCTTGGAGCAGTGTAGTGAGGTCCGATGCAGAGTAAGTCCCAGCTGCACGTTCTTTAGAAGGCAGCCATTCTTGATGCTTAGCGGAGATATCTTCGCCTCATACAGCAGCGATAGACTTCTCTATCTACGTGATGCACAAACAAGTCCTATCGGACTGACCGTCCTGCAGTCCGTCACCTCCTCTGCAGGACTGCAACAGTCTGCCAGAGACAGGTTCATTGGGCGCAGCACTGTTTGCTTCACATCCAGCCTGCGCGGCTGTACTGTCAATGCCTAACTGCAGCCAGGGTACCCGCTGCATCAGGCGGACGCTCATCTGCAACCTCCTCCACGGCTTCCTGTATCTGTAGCGATGGCGTTGGAAAGCAGTTGTAGTATTACCCCCTCCCGCAAGCACCCGCATCACCCAGGTCCCAATAAGTAACAACATCGATTGTCTCCACTGGACAGTGCACTTTCAACAGGGGTCCGACTGGATTCTTCTGTATATGCCAAGATCGAGGAACTCAATTATGATGCAATGCTGGGCCAACCGTGCTATCAAAACGAGATAAGCGACCACGGGTCTCTCTCACGTTCACGCCACACCGTCTGATGTATGTGCGGAAATCGACAATACGTCTTTCTGTAGATAGTCTTGAAGTCTAGTGAGTCCAGCGTGTCTAGTCCAGCCACTCTAGTCTGCTGAGCAAACAAAGACTTGTGAGGATGAACCGACATAACACCCCAGAGTCGCCCTTGTGAAATTTTGTCATACTGTCTCAAACTGCCGAAATCGAACAGGGCATCTGAATCAGTTGGCGGTACCAGGTACGGAGTGCACCAGCCCACCTCAGGATGATTTCATGTCCGGTGACCCTGTTCAACTGAAACAGGGCAATTTTTCAATGCTGCAACGCCGCACGTCCACAGTGGATGTTTGAGCCCTCCACTTTCGACAATAGAACGGCTTAGATGGAGAAAAGCAAAGGCGAGTCTGCAAAGCTTGAAAGCGCACTGTCCCTCATTCCCGGTCTCACAAAAAATAGGCCGGTGTGCGATTAATTACACAGGTTCCAGCTCCTCCGCACATTAGATCTCCATACTGTTTTGCCTTACGCACAAGAGCCGCGAACCCTCTCGGGCCCTGAAGTTCCCAGGAGCTTGATCCTCCTGGATCGATGCCAGCAGATCTTGCGTCATGGCTGAGGAGAAGCTCCTGACAGAGAAAGGTTCCAAAGTGAACCCAGGCTCGTGGCATGATCCCCCGCCTCGGCTCCCTCTTGGAGGAGCACTTCTTCAATAAAGACGTCCGCTGAAATGCTGCGTTTTGATAGTGCTGGAAGCGCAGCGCCTGAACGGGTACCGGAATCCGGGAGGCTCTTTTCAAAAAAAGTGCACTCCGAGTGCAAAGAAGCGTGACACTCGCCGCATCCGGTCGGGCCTTCTCCTGCCGGCGTGTCACTGGGATCGTTGAGGGCGGCTCCGGCACACGGGCATACTTGGATTTCATCCTGGAGCTCAGAAGAGACATTGTGATAGGCGGCCGGGCTTGGTCACTGCCTGCCATCTTTGCCGTACATCTTGTTCCGGGCCCGGGTCTGCGTGCATTTGCCTCAGAGGAGCGGGGCGAACGGCGATTGGCGGTCCAGCGGCAGGTGACCGCAGGTGGCCTTGAAGGGATGGGCTCGTAACGGAGACATATACAGTCAGGGAATGCAGGAATTGAGGACCTTCGGGCCTCGGACAGCCTGAACGTTGGGGCTTGGCGGTGGGTACATGGACCACGTCAGCTGCACCCAGCAGCTTCTTGGCCAGATGAAGTGTCTGCAGTCTTGTTCGACATCTCAAGACTTGGGGGGAGCGAGGGTGGGGGAGGCGCAAGAATTGCTGCTTGCGACTAGGCGACTCCCTGCTCTCCTTCGAAGATCCTGCATAGCAGCCATTGGTTTCATTGGGTCATGGTTTTACTCGGGTTTGGTCGCTCTGTCCTGCCGGACAAAGTTTGCACCGAACGGGACCTCAGCCCAGGAAGGCAAGGTCTTCCGGATAAAGGATCTGTGTGTTTTCACCGCACAAGTGTGGTTTGTCGCTTCCTCGGACTTATGCGTAAATAACTCAGCACGATACCTGCAGCATAAGTAAAAAGGATCTGTGAGCATGCCTTACTGCTCCCAAGCTACCCAGCAAAAAGGTGTGCACCCATAGGTTTCATCTCACTGTCATTTTATTCTGGCCCCGTACTTGCCTTTCGCACATGAAAGCGCCATGATCGGCGAAGCGAACCACCCTGACTGTGTTGTGCAGAACTCCCTTGTTTATGCTTCCGCTTGGTGCCTAGGACCTCCGACTCCGCTTTGAAGTGCTACGAATCGGCTGCAGTGCATGCACAACTTTGTGCTTGCCCTCGCACACCAGAACGAGGTACCGGTAGCAAAGTCAACTGATTGTCTCCGCTAAACCCATGAGAGTCAACTTCGTCTGACGGAGCTCTTCCCCAGCCCTGCCAACCGAATGACACATCTTCACAACTTTTCGGTAGCATTGTGCAAGTGCAGTAATGTGGCAGAGAGCTGGGCTCGCGGCCAAACTGCTGTCACCTCCTGGCACCTCTGCATTCGTCTTCTTCGATGCTTTCGCACCAGATTTTGCGGAAGGAGCCTCCGCAACCAGACGTTGACCCAAAGAATTTAAGCCTTCTGCCTCAAATTTTGAAAACTCTTCAGGTTTTGCTTGCACAGACCACAGGAGCTTTCGCGGCCTTGCCGGTCTTCGGCTTCACTTTGCTCGGGCTCTTGGGAGCTTGTGAGCGCGGCTTTCCCATGGCGATCTGGTGGTTATCCACTATTTCCGGGTCAAACGTACTCCTGCTCCTTCTGGTGCGTGGCGGTTGGGGCTCTAAATTCAGCATGCTGATGCTGCTGGTGCGCGCAGTTGTTCAGTGATGCCCTTGACGATTGCTTTGCAAGGTACATTCGGTGTTTGGCTGTCTTCCTTCTCACTGGGGCCTATGAGGCATTGCAATTCTCACGTGGACGTTCGTGCAGCCATGTGGGCATTCCTTGCGCCACACGCATTCCCGAACATGCGTCCAAGGATCTCGAGCTGCGTCACTTCGATCGTCAGGATTGCAATGCGCTTCTTCAGCCTTCGGCCGTCGGGAACTTCACCAAAGAGCTCGCTGCTGCGTTAGTATTGCAGCTCTGCGGGGACGTGTCGAAGCTAGCAGCAGGAGTCATATGACAGCAAGCGCGGAACGGCTAAAGTAGAATCGACCAAGACTTCTTCACAGATGTGCTGTTGAACAGCTACTCACTCTTTGCATCCCTGCTCTGTGCTCTAAGCCTTGCCACGCTTGCACCGCAGCTCCAGCGCCGCTCTCAGCGTACACCGGTCGGTATCGCACAGAACATCGAAGCTTCCACACGGATAAAACAACCTGGAAAGTGCAAGATGCAAGCCTCAGGTTCTCAACCTCCACCTCTGTCTGCCTGGCACAAGGCACTTCGAGGATGTCAAGAGTCTTGGGTCAACTTTGGCAGTTGGGATACCACTCACACCACATGGAAGTAGGTGTGGTGTCTCATTTTGAGATGACGACTTCCGGCAACTCTGACCCTGGAGTCGTGGTGCCTCTTTGTGAGCTTTTCCGTTCGTCGCTTGACCTGGCAAAGGCCGCTTCATCCGGCCCGGTACATGCGCGTGCACGCGTTCGAAGGAGATTGTTTACCACATCAACAATGTCTTGTTCTGCAACTGCTGAAACTGGACTGGCCGCATGGGACGCTGCGCCCTACGAAAAATGCAAGCACGACATTCGGTTGTGCAGAGTATGCCTGGAATTCAAACTAATGCCTGCCTCCATCTCCACTTCCTGAGATGTCTGGCCTTCGTAACATTCCAATCATTATTAGGTCAATGCCTCCCGCTGTGCATCCTCTCATGTTAGCATTTGCAGGTGAGCCTGGTAACCGCTTGAAAGATCTCTGAGGCTTGGGCTTTGAAACGCCGACGGATCCTGGACCGCAAGTCTCAACGTGCGTTCTGCAGCAGACTTGGCTTTGCAGCCAGTTGCACAGGCGACCGATGCAAAGTTTACGCGCGATTGCAGTCTAAATTGACAGCAGCAGCAGCTGTCGTCTCCAATGACGTCACGGTCTCACCCTCTAATCTCAACCTCTGGGGCACAGGCAAAGAGAACAGTGGCATCGATCCTTTGATTTGCGTCTGCAGGATGGGCTTGATTCCGGTTGAGATTCTAGGATGTTGGAGTCTAGGGTTTCAAGCTTCAACCTCTGTGTTAGTTGGCTCGGGGTGTGAGGCAATGCCTGCTTGCAGGATGTTACTGCGCACTTGTAACATTGAGATCTACTGCTCTTTGAGAATGTGGCCTGCTACTGAGTTAAATGAGATAAGTCTTGAATCTGCTTCTGTGGTGTCTCACCACCGTCCTGAATGACAGCTCATCCGGGCTCGAACGACCTCCCCCTGCAGGGATATCACCGATCACTCCACATAGCTCAACATCTACGCCTCTTTTCCCTCAACTTCGACCAGAAGGATTTTTGCAGACGCGTTTCGAGTGCTTGCGCCCGTCTTTTCTCGCCAAGGCCTTCCACACAGTGCAGATCAGCAGCGATGCATGGTTCGGATGACACTGCTCGCGACGTCCATCCAGAATCGCTAGTCAATGGGCGTGGAACGCCACCACTGTTGACAAGAACATCTATGGGGACGAGGATGGCCATGACCGTGAAGAGAACGACGACGAGGAAGAGGAGTAATTACAGTGGTGATGACGGACAGAGGAGGGTGAAGGGCAGTCTGAGTATAATGAACATGAGGAGGATGCGATGAGGATGACGATAAGATGATTGTATGGTGACTATGGTTCTCATGGTGATGATGATACTGACGGAGATGAGGCTGATCATGATGGTGCTTCAACATGATGAGGATGAACATGAAGAGTAATGCGATGGTGGTGATGATGATGATGACGATGATGATGATGATGGTGATGGTGATGATGATGCTGCTGATGATGATGGTGTTGATGATATTGGCGATGATGACGATGGTGACGATGACGATGATGACCATGCTGATGATGGTGATGGTGGTGATGCTGATTGGATGACGATGAGGATGATGATGATGCTGGTGATGATGATGATGATGACGACGATGATGGTGGCGACAATTATGATGATGTTGATGATAATGGTGATGATGTGAAGAAAACATGCTGATGATCAATATCATGATTTCGAGAGGATGGACGCTGTAGTTGTGGTGGTGCCAGTGTCGGTGGTGAACGTGGCCGTGATGGCGCTTGCGGTGGCGGTGGGGGCGGCGGCGGTGGTGGTGGGGGCGGTGGGGGCGGTGGTGGTAGCGGTGGCGGTGGCGGTGGTGGTGGTGGTGGTGGTGGTGGTGGTGGCGGTGCTGGTGGGCCGAAACCACGGATCGGCACGATGCCAGCCTGTTGGTAGAGCTGCTCCTTGAGAGTGGTCAGCTCTTTGTAATACCTGGAGGTCACTAGAGTGTAGAGGTGGAGGGGAGACTTGACGTCCCATTAAAGGCCAGCACCACGTATGCTTGAAAACTCGTCTAAAGCCTGTTGAAGGCCTAGTGGACATGTTCTAACACGAGACATGCAGACAACAAGACAACCACTGAAACCGACACCGTCTTGGAACCAATTCTTCCGTGAGCAGAAACATGCCAGATGCACGCTGATCGGCACTTCGCCAATGTCGCGACAAGATTGTCGACCTGCACATCGGCTCCGTTGCAAGGTCTGTCACGCAATTACACCTGGCATGTTCACGGATGCGTTTCACAGTGCCCCCTTTGTGCGCTGGATGTGCGCTTGACCTAGACCTATAGGTGCTCAACAACTGAGCCAAAGCAGATGCCCTCACCGTTCTTGGTGCAGCCTTGCGGGTGAGGCAGGAAATCGTGTTGTGCATCGCCTGCCATAAGTACGAAGCCGTCAGGAAAGAAACCTCTCGCTGCTTCAATGCTGAGTTATCCCTTCAACCACGGCCAACATACGGCTCGTGCTCTCAGGTGCGACAAGTGCATGACCGGGGATGCCTGGATTCCATCAATGGACACGCAGATGCGAGGACGGCGTTCTGCGTAGATGGGGTCGATGAACACAATCTGGCAGCGATTGTTCCCTCCTGCTTGACCCCTTCCGCCACCTCCCTAGACCATGGTAAACTTCCCAAGCTCTCACCTCGCGAACCGTACCGCCCCTTCCATCATCGTAGAAGACCTGGCGTCAAGCGATGCTCAGAAGATCTCAGAATTTGCAGGCATCGGCGCTAAAACGCAAGACTGGTCACCTCGACTCACCAGCCCACTCGATACCCTCAAGGGCCTCAAGGGCCTCTGGCTCGTCGAAGTCGTCAGTCTGCAGCCGGTAGATGTCCTGCGATATATGCTGCGACTTGGTTTTGCAGTTGGCCGGGTGCCTCGATGAGCTAGTGAAACTTAGGATGCGACAAACGTTTCACGATAAGGACGTGAAGGTAGCATGCCATTCGTTCGCGTGGCGTTCACTGCAACCTGATGAGATGAGCAGACTTGAAGTCTGGCACCTAGGGAGTGCCTCTGGTGTCATAGTCATGGAAGGTCGCATTGAGATTTCCAACACTGCGATGGCCTGCCTGTGCCTCCACTACAACTCGTGCTGGCACAGACGTGACAACGACAACGGCGACTTCGATGGCGATGTAGTGAAACTACTGCCTAGGGGCCTAGGCTACTGCTACTGCTGCTGCTACTGCCACTGCCACTGCCACTGCTGCTATACCACTCCTACTCCTACTCCTATACTCCTATACTCCTATACTCCTATAATCCTATACTCCTATACTCCTATAGTCCTACACCCCTGTATTCCTCTACTGCTATGCCCCTACTCCTATGCGGCGCGGACCTTCAGGGTCTATTTGGCAATCCTTTCTGGTTCATATCACTGCAACACACGGAGGCTTTAAGAGTACATGCTGCGTCGCACCAAAACAAAGTATCAATGTTGCAGAAGATAAGCAGGTTCTGAGGCAGGGTGGCGCTGTTGCAGGCAAGAACTCATTCAAGGAGGCACGGGCGGTAGCAGAGACAAACGCGGAGTCTGGAAGCCACGGAAAGCGTGTTTTGGGGACGGTTTTGGGTTCCCATCCAAGCATGCCCTACATCGCCCTTCATCCACCCCACCCCCATCTGCGCTGAGAGGTTCGTATCCACCCCATCCCCCCACCCGTTCCCTCCTTTGACCAGTCATCAATCTGAAAATTTGCCGAAGACTTTCTGAGAGCACTTTGGCGAGCCCGGGATGGTGGCGGATGAGTGGTGGCTGGGACGTTGAGAATGCTTTCGCACATCTATGAGACCTTTATGGAAGGGTGATGGGGTCAGGTACAAATTGTTGACGGGTTGGGGAGAGGGCTGCATGTGTGAACTTGACACCCTTCACGGCCAGCCAAGTTGTATGTTCCATCAAGCCATGCGCCTGCAAGTATAATGAGAAATGCTTTTCAGGATCTATGAGAGCTTTCTGGTACATGCAGAAGGAGATAAGGAGGTTAGGAGATCGGATGAGGCTGGGTGGCATAAATGCACGCAGTAATTCATGCAAGGATAGCGTCCCCTCAGCCGTCCCCCCTCCCGGCAGTTGGTACCTGAAGGCTGGTGGTTTGGACGTTGAGACCGCTTTCAAACGTCTATGAGAACTTCTTGGGAGGGTGATGGGGTCAGGTGCTGTTGACAGGTTGGGAAGAAGGCTGTTGGTGCGAACTTGACACCCTTCACAATCAAGTTGGCAGGGGCGGGGGCTGGCCTGGTGGGCTTGGGCTGGGTGGGGAGGGCTAGAGGCGGGAGCTAGAGCTGGGGGCTGTGGGTGGAGAGCTTAGGGAATTGACAAACGTATTTAAACTTTGACGATTTAACATTTTAAAGAATTTGAAAACAATAAATATAGTAAACTCTTTTAAGCTTAAAATCGGCTACACATCTGGAGAGCTGAAGGCTGGTACCTTGAAAGGGGCTGGGGGGCGTGAGGGCCGGCTGAGGCTAGACTGGGGACTGCGCGGTCGTGGGCCGGTGGGCCAATGGGGCAGTGGACATGGGCTTGGCTGTGGGAAAAATCGAAATTATTCAACTTCTTGAAAATTTGTAGTTCCGGACGATTTACAAATCTAAAGATGTTTTTCTATTTTAAGTCTTAAATTCTTCAAAGCTTTAATTCTAAACTATTTACAAAATGAAAGACTTTAAAGAATTTCAATCCTTCATTTCCGTGGGCTGGCGCTGGAGGCTGGGGGCCGGTGCTGGGGCCCAGCCGGAAAAATGTAAATGTTTAAAATTCTTTAAAGTCTTTAACTCTTGAAATTTTTTAGTTCCGCACGATGTGAAAATTTAAAGGTTTTGAGCTATTTACAGTGGTTAAATTTATACAGTTTTTGAAGTTTGTAATTCCGGACGGTTTGACAACTTAAATTCAATTATTCAAATCTGAATTCCGGACTATTCTAAATTTAGAGAATGTAAAGAATTTTGAAACTTTAATTCCGTGGGCTGTGGTCGGTGCTGAAGTCCAGCCGGGAACATTGAAATTGTTGTTAATTAAGTTCGTCAAAATCTTTCATTTTTTAGCTCCGGATAATTTGGAAAAAACTCTGTAAACTTTTATTTCTCCTACTACTACTACTACTACTACTACTACTACTACTACTACTCCTGCTGCTGCTGCTGCTGCTGCTACTACTACTACTACTACTACTACTACTACTACTAGCTACAACTAGCTGCTACTACTACTACTACTACTACTACTGCCGCTACTACCACGACGACGACCATTTGGTGCTACGACGCCGGCTACGACTATTCGACTCAAGCTGCCTTTTCTACCGGAATCTGTGCTGCGATCATGGCTCCTTGGCTCTAATATGCCTATCGTCTCTTGGCGAGGATTGTCGAGCCAAGTGGAGTGCGAACTTGCGGGCCATGTCGCATCGCAAACAGCCAGTCTGCCATTCAGTCCCGAAATCTCATTCGTACGGCTGCTCCTCGGCAGCAGCACGACGACAAGACACGAAAGTGCTTCTGTCTTGAGATCGGGGTATATATTTTGGGAAATTGAGCACAGGCTGACCTAACGTCAGACACCAGCATCAGTAACACAAGTCAAGAACCACAGGTGTTTAAAGGAACGGACGTGCGACAGCCAGCCTGAGATGGACTGTGCGATTGCATCAAGTGTGCAGAATATCCGGCATTTTCGCTGGAAAGCACATTGGTTCACAGTAGCTGCTCACAGAGTTTTGGCGTGTTGCCTCTACAGTACAGTACAGGCCTTGAGGATGAATCGGCCAAGATGACTTTCCGAATGCTTCCAACGCTTCGACCGTCATGGAAAGCGCTTCCACACAAACAAAATGCAAGTGCTCACTTATCTCCGTTCATCAACTTCTTACATTGACTGTATGAACCAGAACTGGGAACGACAACAGACAGCATGCCTGCTTCAGCCCGTTGCAGCTTGAGCGGGTATGCTTCCAAAAGCGAGACAGTAGCACCAGCTGTCCTAGAAGCGCGCTTGGTATGGAAATAGCCGGGACCAACACGTTGGGAAGGTACCAACCGGCAGGAAGACGCATATGGACACGCCTTACGAGACAGCCTTTACTCCCGACGCATGAACATTTACATTTTCGCTTCTTGCCACCCCGTCCTGACGCAGACATGTTGCTTAGCCCAGGACACCCCGAATCAATCCCTGGAAAAGATGGTCTTCTTGCGACCAGACTGTTCTAGCCAGGCGTTACGATGATACGGCGAGTCCCGACATCGTCAGTGCGCGGGGCATATGACACTACTGACTCGTCTCGAAATGTCTCGAAAGGCTGGGATCGTCCACGTACGCAAATTCTTGACTCAACGGGAGATTGAAACATGTTTGTCTCCCGTGGCCATGGAGGAAAGAGAGAAGTTCGAGAACTCGAGAACATCAACAGTCGCCAGAGAAACTACACGTTGGCGAGTCCATGAAGCCTCCTCCAGATGGTTTCATGGTCCCGCCCGATGGAAACACCATTGCTGCGCTGAGTGTCTGTGTCCCAGCAGGGCGTTTCGTGGAAAGACGAGGTGTCAACAGAAGGTATTGAAACCTCGGGGATCGTGCACCTGCATCCCAGCACGTCACGACACTGTGGGCACCTACCAATTGGCGAGCCATCAGATTGAAGGGTTCTGAATTGACGTCTCAGCTGCCAAAGCTCAACACATCTCAAGACGGTGTTAAAGCACTACCATTCCAGTGTCGACAAGCTCCGCAGGCTGTGAACAAACTGAGAAACCTGTCCGGTGAACCGTGAGGTCCACAAGCATGGGCAATCACATGGGGATCGCCCCTGTCTGATACACCTACAGCACCATGGGGCAGGAAGAAAAGACCACCCGAACTGAGTTCAGGTTTGAAAAGGTTAATGCACACTTGCGCGCCCCGCTGCCAGGGGACTGACGATATCATTTTCATCACTGTCAGCCGGCTCACGGGGAATGCGCCAATTGCTCGGATTCTGTGCGTCATTTTCACGCCAGGGAGCCACATACAGCACAGACTTGCTCGTCGGGCCTCACCTGGGCGGTGGGATGCAGGACATGCTGAAAGCCATTGTCTGCAGCCGGTTTCTCCGTGTGGTGGAAGCACGGAGCAGCCATCACGCAAAACTATGCGAAGTTAGGATGCCCGACCAAGCCATTTTGTTTACCCTTGCAAGCTCTTGCTTGAAGATTTGTTGCCGAGTTGCGGCAGATCCACAGCAGTCGCAACGAAAGCCCAAGCATGGCTTGTAAGCCTCTGATTGCAAGCCCAATCTGTACAGTGCTACACCCATAGGCTCTGAGGCCCTGCGCCCCTGCCTGTCGGAGATGCTCGGCGTCGTCACTCTGCATCCACTCGTGCAGCTGCTTCAGCGCCTCTACAGCCTCAGCGTCAGCGCAGCAGCGTTCGCAGCATTGAAACGTCGTGTGTGCTGTTGCGACAGTACAGGACTAGTAAGTAGCACAGGACCCAATCGGAAACTGGTACTGCACCCTCTCGGATCCCTCGCATCAATCTGCACTGTGAGGGTGCCCCGCAACCCCAATCCGACCATCTAAGCCGCTGTACAGCCTTGCTGTGCCGGTCTAGGTGCATTGTCCCAGGAGTGGGCCTTTACTCCCACCGGCACACGTGGAAGGAGCTCGTTCCTTAGGAGACTTGGGGCTTTGGGAATACTTTCCCTGGCCCTCGTCCTCGTGTTCGGCTTTAGGACGACTCTTCTCAGGCCCGGAGTATGTGATGATTGTTGCAGCCGAAATTCGCCACCAGTTTGCCCAGGTATGCCAGCCACTTCCTGACAGTGTGTGAAATTGTCTGTGGGAACGGAGAATGAGGCGCTAGAGAAACGCCTTGGGCATTTGACCGAAACTTTGCACAGTGATGCATCCCCAGTCGCCCCTTGAAGCATGCGACACATTGTGACACGATTGCAGAAGCTACGGCATTCCAAGAGACGGCTTGTCTGCACGGAACTCTTCGTTGATGCATGCAAGCCGTTGCTTCCTTGCATCGTGCAGGCAGCCATTGGGAAAACGCTTCAGAGGCTCATGATACCCTACAAATGTTGACTCAACTACAGAACACTGAAATACTCGTCTTCTTTCAAGGCATGCATATTTCTCTCTCCGTTGAGCCACTTAAGTGGAGACCGAAGCATGCGCAAGTGGACATTGCCGTCAATCAAAGCGATTGGGCATCGGGGTGGCAGCTCCTGCTTGTCAAGAGCTTGAATTCATGGTCACATGCCCGCTCCGACTGCTGTCTGCTGTTGAGACGAGAGACAGGAAGGGTTCGGGCGAGCGAGAGAGAGAGAGAGACAGAGCAAGCAGGCGACGTCATCGGACTGTCTCAGAGAGGCAGTCCTTATCGTTGGGCATCCCCATCGATGTGTTCGCTTCGCAAAGAGGCTCGTCTGGCTCCTGCAGACATGGCACAACTTCGTGGCTGCATCATCCTGCGAACAACAACAAGGCACTGCCGCATGATCCTTGTTGTCCAAGTTCAAGTCATGCAAGTCGTCATCCGATGAATCATCTGACAGGTCGCTGTCATCTCCTGGTCCAGCTCAGCCGGACTTGGGCTATCGACTCTCAGGACTCAGGAGTGCGATGTTGCTGCTTGACCAAGTCTCCGCCATCGGCCGTCGAGGGACCATCCGAGCTGTCATCTGCCAGAAGCTTGCAGCAATGCTCTGCACGAGGCTCAACTTACTCTACGATCACGACCCCGGGACAACGCTGACGCTGTCAAACGCACTTCTAATTGGTCGCTGTGACGTGCACGCTTATCCGGCGTGTGCAAGACACGCAATTTGCACTCACAGACCAACAGCAAATCAGCGACAGCCCGACGACGGTCTGTCATTGCAGGAAGGCTTTCAGGAGCCGCCGTTCTGGCTTTCGAGCGATTCCTGCCTCAAAGAGGCCACGCTGATGCTGCCGCCGCGACTTTCACAAAGCTTGCCGGAGGGTCTAAGACGAGAGCGCTCAGGCCAAGATATTTGCCAAGACGTGACGACAATTTCTCACCGACTTCGGAGCCAGAGCTGAGACGGGGGCCGCGTGGGGGGGGAAATTTGGGGGGCCTGGGGGGCCTGGGGCCCACAGGAGCTTTGAGTTGTGTGCCCCAGCGATGCAGAGTCGAATGCAGGCCTGGCACAACTACTGAGCTGGCCAAGCAAACCGAGAACACGCGCGTGACATGGCATCGGATCCCAACAAATGACGAATCCACCCTAAGTTCCACAAAACGTCAGCAAATCATCACCATAACAAGCACCACTGCGAACAGAGGCAGAACAGCTAGTTCCGGAAGCCTTACCGCCACTGCACCTACAACCTGTAGCATGCGGCCCTTGCCGCAACAATGAAGACAACAAACATGACGCACCAAAATACTTTGGACGTGAAAAACGTCGTGTCGTTGTGTACGATGCAGCACTGGATCTTCTGCTTGAGTGGTTCGCTCCCGTTGTTCGTGCTACCCGTCCATCGGGCGACATGCCGACACTGAGCATCAATAGACTTACGCGACGCGCGATGTCCGGCAGGTTCGTACTACAGCAGACATTCAGCAGTGCTGGATGCTTAAGTTGAACACACTAGCAAAAACGATGTTCCGGTCCAGGTCTAAGTCGCATCGAGAAACGCCAGAGGAGCATCCACGAAAGACAAGTTTCAACTAATCATGCCCTGCACACAGACAGCACAGGAGGTGCAACAGGCACGACAAGCATCAATAAATTCAAGATCCAGCGATCAGTGCAACCCCAACGGGATGAGAACCAACCACAACCACAAATCCTACTTTCTACACGATCCCCAGAAACCGTTGCCGAGAAACCTTTTGCAAACTCGTCGTCGACATCTTGTTCGGTATGCTTTGCAGCTGACGGCTGACACAGGACAGTGTCCGACCTTGAATGCGAACTCTACAGCATGCCGCATGCCCAATATGCACTTGGGATTTGGGGCTTGAGGTGAACCTGACGAACCTTGGTACATGCGGAACAGTGGCGGCGCAAGGAAAGGCACGAGAGAGCACGTCGAACAAGCCTTGCAGTCGGGAGAAGTGACGTTTCAGGGACCGGCGCCAACCAGAGCATACATCTTGGGTTGCAACATGTCGGGGGATTAGCTGCTCTGCGACGTCTACTTTGTCCGAGGAACGCGTAGGGCGAAACAAAGGCCAACCTGAGGGCGATCGCAAGATAATTCGCAACACTACAGAAGCTTCACTCCCGCATATGAACGTCATACATGTTCCCTTTTGCTCTACTGTCTATCCGGAAACTCGGCAGCATTAGCAGAGTGAATGCTCAGTTGCGCAATCAGTGGATTCGTCAACCCCCCCCCCCCCTCCAGCTGAGAGTCGCACGGATGATGACGCAAGGCCGCATTTAAACAGGAACAAAATGGGCTTCGAAGCCGCACTCGACCTTGCAGGAAGCATGTCGGGCAACACAACAGTGGGCGCTCTAACCTTTTGTGCGCCATTCACAGCTAGGCGTATCTCTGCATGGCCCTAGCATCGGCTGCTGCAGGTGTGCCCCTTTAGCGGTTCATTGCAATGACAACTTCCGGAATTTCGGCCTTTGGATCACCACAAGCTCGAAGACCAGTGAGATATCCAATGCACTGGTGATGGTGGTGGTGGTGGTGGTGGTGGTGGTTGTGGTTGTGGTGCGGGTGGGGGTGCGGCTGGTGGTGGTGGTGGTGGTGGTGCTGGTGGTGGTGGTGGCGGTGGCGGTGGCGGTAGTGCTCGTGGTACTAGTTGGTAGTTTTCGTGGTACTAGGCGGGAGTAGTCGTCGTCGTTGTCGTCACAGTCGTCGCAGTCGCATCGTTGTATTTATCGTGGCAGTACTTGGTACCTGAATGTGGTGGTCGTACCGGCCGCGGTAGTGGAAGTGGAACTAGCAAAAAATCATAGCAGCAGCAGCAGCAGCAGCAGCAGCGGCAGCAGCAGCAGCAGCAGCAGCGGCACATTCAGCAATAGCAGTCGCAGTCACAATAACAGTCCCGGTCGCAGCAGTAGCAGTGGAACGAGCACCACCAGCAGCAGTAGCAGTGGTAATCAGTAGCAGCCATCGTTGCCGTTGCAGTAGGAGGATAAACAGCTGTCCTACGTCTTTCAAGCGTGCGAAGTCTCAACCCCGTTGAGAACTGCTCATGCCTCTGTTTGCACTCAACACACTGATGTACCGACATACTGCAGGTACATGTTACGAACAACAAAAAAGGACAAAGGACATGACTTACTATTGCTGACAATCACTCTGAGGCTCCGACCAACTACTTGGAAAGGGTGCTGCAAACACATAACAATATATCGCTGCGCTACCCATCAACAACATGTTCATCCCCCCAACTTGGTCCTATTTGATGTTCATATGTGTTCATACCCTCATATCAGCTAGGTGCTCTCTGTTCCCCCCAGGAGAAAGTGCGAAAAAACACTATGGATAAAATAACCATGCTCATAACACAGCTTCATGCCAGTTCTCCTGAGTCGGGTACTTCGAGCCTTGGTGAGTTTGCGGGGTAGCTGCGATGATCCCCTCCAAAACACATAGTGTGCAAGCGCGCTGTATCTCTCTCTCTCTCTCTCTCCCTCCCTATCTCTCTATATCTGTCCGTCAACCTATCTAACGAACCTACTCTAGCCCAGTTTATTCTTGTCTATACACATGCACACACAGATATACATACATATATATATATATAAGGGTTGTTTTGTTCCATATCCTTGTTCCACGCATGCCAATTAGGATCCCTTGCGCTTGGCCCTTGCATGATCCTTGGGCATGCTTGCGCGCGCGAGGTTTTTTGAAGACTCGGGTTTGCCACAGTGGCAGTGGCTTGTTGACCTTTGGCGGCTTCGAGTTTAAGCTTCGGCTGCGGGTGAAACACTGGGGCTTCAAGGCTCATCTACCTACAACGCTGCTGGGTATGACTCTTGAGTAGTCAACCTTGACAACGAGCCTTGAGCATAGCTTGCGCTCGCCCTCGCGCGCCCTTGCGTGGGATCGAAAGGGTGTGCACTTGTTAAGCGACCGAGTTTTCGCTAATCTCCCTCCTAGTCTTGTCCAAAAACCACCAACAAGAACAACGCTTATATATATTTTATGTGTATATATTTTTTAATAGGTGTAGGTATACACAGAGAGAGAGTGTGTGTGTGTGTGTATGTGTGTTCTGCGATCGTTCATTTCGCTATACATCTTGAGGTACAGAAGTCGACAGACAAAGCACATTGAGTCTGCCATCCTGTCTTGTTGTTCAAGCTGTTCTGTCCGACTAGTGCTGCGAAGCTGCCAGGCGTCAATGAAAAGTGCCTACCAGGGCGTGACAGGGCTTAAATTCTCTTGGACGCATGTCTTGAGTGACACTTTGGGATGGAGGGAGCAATGACTCACAGTAGCATGAATCCATCTTTGGCAGATAGTTGCAGAGTGTGTCAGCTTGAGCAGCGGTAGAGATCCACGATCCTGCTGAGCACTGCAGTCGGGCGGCATATACTTGAAAGGCGATAAGGACCATCACGAAGCGCTCGACCCAGTAGCACACTGCCTGCATCGATGTTTCAGCATTCAGAGTCAAACATGTGCGTCGGCCGGCGACTTGAAGTGTTTAGCAGCTCTGATAAATGCTACATTGCTGCCCAGGACAGTTTTCGACTGAAGCACAGCACTCACAAGCTCAGTTTTGACGACTCGTTTTAACCGACATGCGGTGAAGAGTGTGCAGCAAAGGCCCTAAAGCGGCTTGCACATGGCACAGGGACCAAATGCAGCGTCTGCAAGGTTTCAGGACCGATGCCGCAGTTCCCTGAAGTTGAAGCCCTGGACGCCTGAACACTGAAATTCTCATCTGGCACAGACTGCCACATGGCCTTGATTTCGCGTTTGGCTTCGGATGCAGTGAGTGCCCGACAGCATTGTGCGATGTAGCAACGCACCATGACCTTGGCAATGAGGTATTCTAGGTGAGTATTTCAGCATGCCGGCGTGGTGTGTTCTTGACATCACGATTGTTTCTTGCCCAGGAGCGAGAGCACTCAAAGATACCTTAGCTTGGTCCAGCTGGATTGCCGGATCACAAGCCAACTTGCCCCCCCCCCCCCCNNCCCCCCCCCCCAAAAAAAAAAACACAGACTGCCGGGTTGCAAAGTCCAGTGCCACGGAGGCTGCGCTGGCAAGTCCCTGCCAAGCAATGGGCCAAGCGTAGGAGCCCCAGCGAGATCTTGAAAGAATGGGCATTTCCTAAATCTGTCCTGAAGTCGATGTGTGATTGCCGGATGTATCTCTTCGCACCCGACCCAGTCCTATGTGAGAAAGGACTTGCAGTCTGCAGTGTAGCACATTCGAGAAGAAATCGGATGAATGAGATTTAATGATGTCTAGGTTCTGGACAGGCCTCCATCCTTCCGATCAGCTGTCACCTGCACAGCATGGGAGGATAGCAAAGCAGCCTCTTGTTGTCTGCGAAGAAGGAAGCTGTTCACAGTTGGAGTGCCCAATGGGGTGGGTTCCTCTAAAACTCACCACTGAGTTCATGCTTAATTTGGGGGGAACATGGCTGGAAGGCGCAACGACCAACAGTGGTCCGACTGACCATGACCCCCATGACCACGACTACTGCAAAAGGCACGTGCGCACCTGGTTCTCTGCCGGCGCTTTGTGGTCAGTCGCACGTCGGGCGACCACACCCAAAGCTACGTTCTGTGCCTGCCTTCTGTGAAAAGGCTGGAGGAGAAACACAAAAGCTCGACTACTCAGCAGCTTTCGTCTCGGTGTCCCCATGATACATCATGGTTGCAAGATCATGTGGACTAGGGCACCTATCCGGAAATGCACAGTCAGCATAACGGTCATCCTCTCCAGTCGGCAGTTCTCACGTCATAGTATACCAGCCTTTCCACCGACATAGACCGTGAAAGAAACCGAAATGGAGCCAGATCCCTAAGCAAGTGAACCAGCGAGATAACCCCATCACCTCCTGCCCTGAGAACCCGATATTCCCAGAAACGATGAATAAGAAGTGCCATGACGTATGCCCGACTTTGCCAGCTTGTGTTTTGCTCAGCCATGTAGTAGATGCCAAAGTGTACACCCTCTAACTACCAACATTAATCATGAATGTTACTCCTCCAGCAAAAGGCAGAGCGCACCAGGCCTAACTCAGCTGCTGGAGCCCTAAAAATCTACGGGTGGCCGGTCAAGGTTGTTGGGTGGCAGGGCAACTGGCCGAAAAGGGAGGATTATCGGTTCACTGGCAGACACCCCGCACTGGGACAAACTCGCAGACATTCTCAGCAAGCAAAGCAACTGCTACCGAGGGAAGCGAGGCAAGTCCTGGAGCTCGCCGCCTGCTCCGTGCTCAGCGATACACATGCTCACCAAGAGCTACATGTTGAGTCAACACTCGTTCAGCCAGGAAGCTGTTCAGATTCGCCGGTGCAGTGATGTCCTCGCAGCACCGTCACAGGAAACATACTTCTGACGATGTGAATGCCGGAAGAGTCTCACGAACTGTGTGTCAAAGTCGAACGCTGCAAAGGTGCACATGCTACGGGGTGCAAGACTGGATCAATTGGCGCTGTCCTTCAGTGCATCTTCATCTAAACACGCCAAGTGGCGCGCCTCGGCCTAGTGTGGAAAAGCAGGCAAACGTGCTGACCATAGCAGTGCCATGTCCACAGTTCTGCGCCAACGCCAACCACTCAGCCCCGAGCACTTTCTTCTTTATACGTCATGCCTGAGTGGCAGTAACGTCCCAATCCTTGAGGAACTGCATGTCTGAACATGTGAATAATGACCCACACGGACACGGCTCTACCGTCAGCACATGTGAGCAGGCAGGCTTTCAAAAACTGTGGTCACAAATCTTGAGCAGCTTCAATGGAGCAGTCTCCTGAGGCTCTGGCATTTCCTATGATCCTTGCGAACGTGTGCTCTGCACCGGAACAGCCTGTGGAAGGTTGGCTGCAAGCTCATGCGGACCTTATAGGGACCTTGATGAAGCCCTCCCGCCAGGCTGATGGCTTGGGAAATATATTTGTCTAAAGCAGGCCAACATCGACACTGGCTCTGTCTTGCCACTGCATCCTTCAGTCCATAAAGGCGCTCGGGTGCATTCCAGGTGCTCGGGCCTCCAAGACTCTCAGAGCGCCACTGTTCTTCAGCGATGCGCTAGACGAATCAAGGACGGCAAGGAGCTTGCACTATGATCATCTGACAGAGTCTCAGTAAGTCATCTCCAAGATGTTATCCAATGCGAACATAGTATCGTGGTTTGTGCCGGGCTCCTTACGAAGTGTCATGATCCATGCTGCAACCTGCCAGGGCCCTCTCAAGAAAGTCTGGAGCCATTTTCAGGGAGCTTGGAGCTGAGCTCATCCCAAAAAGCCAAGAGCAGACCAGGCAGAGCGCAGAGCGCACCGTGCGAATCTCGCCCTCTCTTTTGGCCCTCCTGCGCTGCAGTGTGGGGCCCGCCGGCTCTGGCGCCGCAAGGAGATATACTTCTCATCCTCGTGTGTGACGGCGTCCATCGGATTCCGAAGGAATCCGTAGCCGGAAACTCCTATTTGCTGCCGGGTCTCAGACTTTCATGGCCGAGTTGGCGATTGAGGAAAAGTCATCTGCCTCGGTCGCACCGGGAGGCCTCGCCTCTGTAGGCCAGATTTAGGATGAACGCAAGAAAAGCCAGGGGTAACCTCAAAACCCAGCATCCAACTCTCTGCTTCAGAGTGCGCTCTTTCGGTGATGCAGCACTGAGTGAGCCGGTTAAAGATTGTTAACGCCGGGATTTGGGCATCACCCCAATAGCACAGAACAGGTGTCACAAGTGAAAACTCTGGTCAGCCCGAGCAAGACAGCAAGGAATTTTACCTCCGGTTCATCAAATGTCTTCGTTTTCGCAGCGTCGCAGTGTGGGATCCGCCCTTCACCCCGCCTGTGGGATTACATGTTCGCGCGGACTCAGACCCTTTACGGAACTGCCTGCCGCAGCAGTCGCAAAGCGGCGCAATAAATGCTTCCGGTGGTCAACAACAGTTTTCGGATGCAAAGCTTGTCGTCGAAGCGACATCCTGAAGGCCAAAACAGCTGAAACCGCGATTTCCTTGCGCACGCCTGCTGCAGTTCGGCATCTGCGCGCTTCCGAAGCGCTGCTGCCTGCGCCTCCGCCTGCGAGCCGTTGGAATGCTTGGAGGAAGCAGAGGCCTCCTTTGGTTCCAGGATCTGCATGGCAGGGGTGCCGACTGTAGAGTCTAGCAAGCGCGGCCACTTCAGCACATCCTGGAATAAATCATACCGTCGTATTTTCGGCTCCGACGATTATGATGATGACAGTACTGATGACAGTGGGTGTGTTTGCAAGCCTTTCGACACCGGCAGCAGGCTCTCACCGACACGGAACCATCCGCAAGAACTTACCAAAAGGCCTCTGAGCACAATGCATCCAGAAGAGCTCCTGTCTGCAGGCCTCTGCTGCGCGCTGCTCCATCGCTTCAAGCTGCTGGATCAACTCGCGGGCCTACGGCTTGCAGCAGGCTCTCAGGCAGCTTCATCTGTGCTTGCACAACATCTCTTTTCGTTTGTAAACACTCTTGATGCTAACCATTGAGAAAATAACTCGTCGTTACGCATTTCTGAAACCTTAGAGAACACTGGAAACACCATCCGTGAACCCAGTGATCGCCTCGAGCCTTCGATCTTTGTATGCTCTTCCATCTCTGAACTTTCTGTTATTACTGGGGCTGCATGTTTTCATATACACAGCGGCCTGCCTTGGCTTCTCCGGCCGTCGCCCCGGCACGCAAAGCACGCTGGGAGGAGACCTGGCTGCGATGGATTTAATGAGAAACTGGATTCTGAGCATAGACACGGCGAGTCAGGAGTCTCTTCGATGGCCTTTGCCAGACTTGTCGCGTTTGCTCTCAGCTCGATCGCACGCCGACTGAAGGCCTGGGCCTGGTCCTGCGCTGACTAAAGGCAGAACCGGCACAACGCGCTGAAAAGCATTGGGCGCGAACAGCCGCGACAACATTTCAGACATGCAAAGTCCTCTGCTTCGCTTTGAACGGCCAGCTCCTGAAGACGGCGCTGCACCGAGAAAACTAGGCTGCTGCCAGTACTTCCACCACGCCTTCACAACGGCCTCTGCTGCTGAAGAGGCAGCATTGCCCTCATCTCTGGCAGAGACCTGTGTCCTGCACCCGTGCAGCGACGAGGAGATTTCTGCTACAGAGCACTCTTGGTTTCGGGACCAGACTGGAAAAGCGGCTTCAAGTGCCAGTGTCAACAATCTTATCGAAAAAAGTGCCCACCACGTCGGTCATGGCAAACGAGGAGGGCGAGGGAGTCGCCGGCAAGTCTGAGCGGAACTGCTCCTCCAAACCTGGCAGCCGAATCTGCAAAAATGAGGATGCCGACCCGGCCGGCCCTGGGCTGCAGTGATCGCTGCTACGACCATCCGAAACATCCGAGCCACTCTGCTCCACAAGCACGACATGCTAGACCTCAGTTTAACTGCTCTCCAACTCCGAGCCGCCGGACATCTTTCCACGGCTAGGAACACAAGAGCGGCTAACCCCAAGTGACCCATTACCTCACACTCTCAACTCCTAAACCCTCAGATATCACTGTGTGCTCCCACGCCTTCAGGCGAGAGCTGCACAGGCGGCTGCTGCTGTGGAAGGAGCTGCTGGGTCCCCACGGAGCTGGACCTACGAGCAAAGCGGGATACTACGGACTTTTGGGGTGCTTCTGTTGAACCCAACTGTTGGCCTCTTTGCACTTCCTTACACCGTGTCTTTCATGAGCACGTTCTGGCATAGTTTAACCCCGCTCTCCTAGACGTAGGTTTCATTGCGGTGGCTTCTCACAGTCATCCTAATCCGATGGCTCGCTTCCTTTACAAACCATGAACGATGATGACCTCTGGTGCGCGGCAACTCTTACTCTCCCTGATTGGCATCGTGGTCATGCTTCGGCTGACTATGACGGCTGTGATTCTGAAGTTTCGTACCCGAGGCCACCAAGGCACTCCACGACTGTGCGACTCAACTCGTGGCTGCTGAGTGTGCCGTCGCCGTCTAAGTCCAGCTTCGCAAATTCCTGCTGGAAGAATTTTCGATGATAGGGGTCTATGGGTTTATGGGACAGACAGTCTAAGGATAGTGCACTCCAGCGCTCTACAAGACATGGTTCTGGACATGTGTTGACTCTGGGCTGCTGGGATCGTCCCGAAATGACGGCACTCGAGGCCTCCGGAGGAATCGGGCATCCCTCCCTTGGACTTCGTCTGCAAAGCCAGAAGGCGTGCAGTTGGAAGAAAGTTCTCTCGGTCCGGTCCTGTGGACTCACGCGGTCCAGACCGTGGGTTGCGGAGAAGGTTTCCAGCTCCTGACAACTGAACCACCCACCTCCTTTATCTCCTACGGGTCAGAGGCACACGACGCGAACTGCTTCCTGCTGGTCGACGAGGCCGTCGCTGTTGCGATCCAAGTTCCGCAGCATCTGCACCACAGGCTGGGAAGTCTCCTGGCATCCCGTATTTCATGGCCATGGCAGAGTCCATGACAGGCAGAGCACTGCAGAGCTCACCCTGCCCAGCATAGCATCGGCAGAGCTCAAGAACAACACGGACCACGCCATCCCAGGGACCCTGGCCATGGCCTCAGCAGCAGAAAAGATCAGATATGCAAAGTCGGAGAAGGCAAAAAAACACCATGCTTCTCCTCTCTGTTAATTACCATCGGCATCAACGCAACTCTTTGCACCGTGCCCTTGTGTTCCAGTTCACGGTAGTCTCTGAACAGAATAAGTTGTAACCAGAGCCTACGACAGCCTTTTGAGTCTTCATGCCCGCCCTAGCTCATTCAATCTGTCAAAGGCTGGCGCTTCAAGGAGGTTCGCTACAGGATCGGTCCACAAACCTCGATAAGGATGGCGAGGGTAAGTGGCTGACTTGAGCCCAACACCACGTGCATTCTCGGAGAGCATGAGTCAGCATGAGAGCTGCTGCTCTCCGCTGGGACACTGCCACAAAAGCTACGGAACAGCGGCCGATGCTGCTGCTTTCTGATTTTCGCTGCTTTCATGCACATCCAAAAGAAAGAGCTCTTCTTGAGGTGTTTCTGGACGAATCGAGGCAACTTGAGGCAAAATGGTATCAGTTCTTGCGAAATCACAGTTCTTGCATCTGCACCTGTTAAAGAACGGCAGCACCCCAAGATTTGCTGCTTCTGGGTTTGACCCTGAGAAGCACGCCGGCAACTGTCCACATCTCGACATGCATGACAGTGCACAGCAAGTGAAGGTTCATGACTTCGGCATGCTGCGACGGGATGTGGCATATCGTCGGCGCAGGGACTCCCACCGCAACAGGAATGGGATCCTCGCACAGTAAACGTAGCGCTTCGTCTACGACGGCATACATGCCTGAGACGTGCAAAGAACAGCTAAGGCTAAGTTATCGGTACAAAGACCGTTGGGCAAAGGCTCTCTCTTCCAGAGATTGCGACAGACTTCAGATCCGGTGTGTCAGGCAACCCATGAAGCAAAACTGCCCAAATCCTAAGAAGCTATAGTACCAGCTAGGATCTAGAACTGCACAGGCGGTGACTCTTCACTGTCTTGCATGTCCCAGGCGCGAGCAGTTGAGAGAATTAACATCTGACGGAAGTTGGCTGCGGCGGATTGTGACTGGACTTTCAGGCAGATCTGAACTCCGTTAGTCCACAGGCGTTCATGCATACCTGCACGTGGCATACGTGCATCCATCCATCCATCCATCCATCCATCCATCCATCCATCCATCCATCCATCCATCCCACCCACCCATCCATCCATCCATCCATCCCACCCATCCATCCATCCATCCATCCATCCATCCATCCATCCATCCATGCACGTGTGCATGCCTGCCTTGCCTTTCTTTGCCTTGCTTTGCGGGACAGTACATTACATGGACACATGGGCACATGCATATATGCAGGCATGTATATACAAGTTTAGATCCACGCAGGCATGCATACATACCACTTGTTGTTCAGAGGTATTAACTTCTGTGTGTGCAGATATGTGTGTAGATACATATCTGCATACACATGTACATGCAGTCAAAATCAACCTTCCCCGTCCAATGCCCTTGCAATCTCTGAGTTTAGTCGGAACCATGCTAAGATCACCAACAATGTCTGTTTGCGGCAAGTTTTTGATACTGTAGAGCTGCAGCTTGATGGAGCCTTAAGGACCGCACCAACTTCAGCGAGCAGAGACTGACAGGTCGGCACGATAGAGCCGGATTGGCACATGTGTGCTCAAGTCGGATTTTGACTGCCATACTAAAGTTTTGACCAAGGAGAATATATGGACAAACAGATTGATAGAGAAATCGATATACAAAAAGCAACACACACACATGCATAATCATGTATGTGTGTACAATGCACATTACTATCTCTGCTCTATACCTATTCATGACCGACAGACAGGCAGACAGAAAGACAGACAGACGGACAGACAGACGGGACAGACAGAGAGAGAGAGAGAGAGCGAGAGCGAGAGCGAGAGTGGGCGGGCGGGAGGGAGCAAGAGAGAGAGAGAGAAAGAGAGACGGAGAGAGCTAGTGATCTTGATCCGGAAAAGAACGGAGTACACATCCTGCCCAGGCTCTTGTGGATCTGGTCGCACTGTACACGATCCCAACGAAAAAAACAAACAAACGCTGCCACACTGCGCGATTGCGGCAATCAGACGCTTACCAGCCAGCCGCAGCCGACAGGCCTACATGCCAACGACGGCGCGGTGTGGAGGCTTAAAAGGTGTGAGTCATTTCGGCCATTTCGGCACATGCAACCTCACACACTGGATATTATGCTGGCTTTGCTTAAGCCTCTTTCTCCGGGAGGCTCTTCGGCAACCTCCTCAGTGATGCGACTCACCTTTTCCATCATGACTTGCCTGGCACGTAAGTCTGGAGAACCGCAAAACCTGCTTTTAGCAAACGCCTTCTTCACTACAGCTTTGCAGGTTGAACGTAAATTGTGGAACTCGGCTTGGAAAACCCAAACGACGTGCTGTCCCCCCCGAAGAATCTGACGGCTGCACTGTGTTAGGCTTTTCCCTTGCTTGAAGAAGTTCTTCGCTTGCTCCTGGACTCTTCAGAAAGCAATAAGCGTTGCAGGTGGGTGAAGCAAGCCCACGGAATCTCCTCCAGCATCTGTATGGCCATGCTGTTGCTGGTGTTCCTGACAGGCGCATGATCGGATCCCCACATGCAGACGCTGCTTACTTTCGCAAGTGTGACCTGAGAACCTCACATGATACAGCAGCGAAGTATGATTCGAACAACTTGAAGGGCATCACTATACTATTACCATACTGTTTTTTACATACAGTACCGAAACGAAACACTGGGAACTTCCCATGAAGATGCAGCAGCAATGGCCTTTCGCGGAGTGGTCTGTCCAGAAGCTCCGCTTCTAAGCGAATGATGTGCTTCAAGACGTCCTGAGGTGGGCTACAGGGGAACCAAATCACTCGAAATATGGTGCCTTCACCCAAAAGAGATCTCTCGTCGTCTCTCCTCTCGTAATGGGCTTCCGACCTTCTCCATCAAATCCCAGGCAACGATCGGATTCTCCGCTTCCCTGCATGGAGATTGTGGTGGTTGCTCCGCGTTTCGGTTTAACCGTGCTGATCCTAGTGATGGCTGCTGAAAGCAACTTGGCACCCAAGTAGCGGAATTGGGGCCTCGAGGCACCACAGTACAGTGCCCCACCTTCTGGAAGACTGCGGAGGCGGTGTGCCGTTGGGGCCTCCGCAAGGCGGGCAGAGTGCATGGAGACTGTCCCTTTTTCGCTCCCACAGCCTCTACGGAGTCTGCGAGTTGTCCCCCTGCCTAGGCCTTCTTCGTCCTCTCGTCTTTGAATCCTGTCGAACCTCATTGCCTCAGCATGAACAGAAACTCGCGATACTAGTCACTTTAAGGCATCGGATGCACTGTGGCTTATGAGGCTCAAGAAATACAAACTGCCCGGCTTGCCTCACGCATGCGGCACTTATCCTGGTAGTGCTCCGTGAAGGTGGTGGTGATCACAGCAACTGCAATCGAGGTGATCAGTATACCGCCCAGCATGGACGCCTTAACAAGCGGCCAACCAGGTCAAAAAGAGCAAAAGCGACGCAATGAGGGCAGCATCGGGCATGCATGTCCGTCCAAATCTGGCTGGTCGTCAGTTTGAAAGGAAAGCGAAAGTTTCCTGAGCGCCTGTCTCCGCCCACGAACTTTCCGGCTGCGGTTTCAGGAACCTCGATTACTTCACCAGATTACATGATGCTTTGACAGCATTCCCAATTGAATCCATGCGCCATGTCCCCGTAGCCAACGGTGGAGATGGTGGCCATGGACCACCACATGGCTGCCTGGATCCACAGTTGTAGAATGAGGCTTGTGCAGACGATCACTGCGAGCTGAGAGCCCCACAGGGATTGAGTCGAAGTCTGTGTCTGGCTGCTCTGACCTTGTGAGCCCACCCCTGCCGGGAATCTTCTGAAATTCGGAGATGCTGGGATCGGAACTCCACAGCATACACGACGGTGGCACTGACCAAGGCCCACATGCTGACCTTGGGAACTCCCATAGCCTACCAGTACTAGTACGCATACCATTCGTAGTCGTCGTAGTAGTATTAGTAGTCGTAGTAGTAGCAGCAGCAGCAGCAGTCGTCGTCGTCGTCGTCGTGGTGGTGGAGTTGGTGGTGGCGGTGGTGGTGGTGGTTGTGTTAGTGGTTATAGTTGCAGTCGTAGCAGTTGTAGCAGTTGTAGTTGTAGCAGTTCAGTAGTAGCAGTAGTAGTATAGCAGTAGTAGTAGTAGTAGTAGTAGTAGTAGTAGTAGTAGTCGTAGTAGTAGTAGTAGTCGTCGTCGTCGTAGTAGTAGTAGTAATAATAGGAGGAGGAGCAGCAGCAGCAGCAACAGTAGCAGCAGTAGTAACTGCAGCTGGTAGTGCTAGTGGTAGTGGTGGTAGCAGTAGTAGTAGTAGCAGCAGCAGCAGCAGCAGTAGTAGTAGTAGTAGTAGAACTACTACTACTACTACTACTACTACTACTACTACTACTAGTAGTAGTAGTAGTAGTAGTAGTAGTAGAAGATGTAGTAGTAGCGTAGGAGTAGTAGTAGTAGTAGTAGTAGTAGTAGTAACAATAATAATCGTAGCAGTAGCAGTAGCAATAGCACTAGCAGTAGTAGTAGTAGTAGTAGTAATCGTAGTAGTAGCAATCGTAGTAGTAGTGGTAGTAGTAGTAGTAGCAGCAGCAGCAACAGCAGCAGCAGCAGGAGTAGTAGTAGTAGCAGCATTGCCAGCGGTGGTAGTAATGGCAGTAGTAGGTGTAAGAGACAAAGAAAGAGTTGGAGTAGGAGCAGGAGCAGGTGTAGGAGTACGAGCAGGCGTGGGAGTAGTAGGAGGCGGATTGGGGGTAGGGCTCCACCTGCTCGTGGGGAGCCCTCGTCCTCTGATTAGGAACTGTTGTTTTTTGACCGACGGACATGTCAGTTTACGACCCACGATTCGGAGTCCAAGTGCATGGCAAAAGCCACGAGGACCCAAATGCCGCTGATGGACTCAACTAGACTCTCGACAACCACACTGAGCACCTGCCATGTTGGCGTTTACGATACTCTTCCGTGCCGGCTCATGGATGGAGTTCATGACGGACCATGTATCGCGATGTCAGAATGACATCCTGCACAGCGGAAATCCCAATCCCACAGCCCGGGGCCTCGGAGTGGCGGGCGAATTTCGCAATTCGCAAGACTCGCACAAGTCTGACCTGGGTCGCGGGCAACAGCAGACAGTTTCGCCAAGACTTGCAAAACTGCATGACCAGTTGGGACAAGCTGGGACGGCGCTTTGCCTGGAATGTGCTAAGAGCTGTAAGATTGGTACATGATTCTCGTATTGCCCCCTGTTGTAAGATAGCATAGCTTCTACCATCATCAATAAGCAGTGACGCCTCCAACGAGCCTGCACATTCCTTCCCACACTCCCCACGGAATCGGGAGCCCAGACCCAAGCTCTGCCGAAGTAGGGCCACGGCCATCCGTGCCAAGCGGACCATTCGCAGCGTCCTCAAGGAACCAGCGATGTTGTTGAGATGCTCGCTATGATGACCTCGGACAGGAGATTGTTGGCGAGGAGGACCAGTGCTTGGATTTTTCTGCGTTTACCAAGCTTGTGAATTGGTGCTTGCCGTGCTTTTCTACGGCTCTACCTTCTTCCTTGCAGGTTATGACTTCAGAGTGAGCTGGCCTGTGGGCATCGTGGCCACGAGAATCTTCTCCAGATACCATGGCCTGGGACCACGAAGAGCACACAAAATAGATGGACAGGCCATCACCATCGAGGTCGTTGTGAGGAAGGCATGAGCATGCAGGCATCTGGGCTTCCCACGATGTTGCCAAGATATCAATCTGATTCGATACGGCGCAGATGTAGCTCCTCCAAGATCTCAACTCTTCATTCGACTTCAACCAAGAATGGTTTGGCTTGCTTCGACGAGTTTGCACAATACTGCTATAAGCAGCACGCCTGCATGCTGTTAGCCTACCCTTGGTCCAAAGTCACTTGTCAACAAGACTGCTCCTGCAGCTTTCGGTTGACGCTGCCTGGGAAAGCAGGCATGCTTTGAGTCGAGGCGGGGATACGGACGCGCCTTAGGGGTCATCTACACTTCTCACAAGAACGCATGCCCTGTCGACTCATTGCACCGAGCTCTGAGCAAAGCCCTCTTGCGTGCCATACTTCAACCGTTCGAGCTCACATGTCGGCGGATTCTCAGCCCACCTTCCGCGTCTGAACACCCGACCCAGCATAGCTTGCTGCCGAATTCTGTTCAACCAGACGGTTAGGATGCCACGATGCCAGGCACTCATACTCACAATCGTAATCATGCTTCTTACTACTACCAGTTCTCCTACGACGACGACAACGGAGACGGGGACTGCCCCTACTTAGAGCTTACTAGCAGTGCCACTGCTGCCGGGTGCTACTAAGACTGCTGGCCTTAAAAACGACCATCAGAAACTCTCTATATGAGTCAGCTCTCTTGTCATCCGATTATTTGCTATTTCGGCTCGTCTTCGCCATAGTGGAAGTGGCTGGATGGGGAGGAGGGTGGCGCCGCGATCCAAGCGTATGCAATGCTGAGGCCCCACACTCGGAGAAGAACTTCAGCAGTGAAGAGGGCAGTAAAGACCTTCGATTTGCATGGAGTCTGTAGCAGTGGAACCATGGTCGCTGGTCGGGCAATCAAGCAGTTGCGTTGCTTCACCTGGACACCACTTCACCAACGATGGGGCAAGTCTCGCTCGTCGCACCTTCTCCGAGAGCTTGAACATGTGGATGTGCTCCTGATCCAAGATCCCTCTCCCAAAAGAAGGCTGGACATCCCATCTACCTGTATTCGCAGAGAGAACTTTCCGAAAAGACTATCAGGAATTTCGGGAGCAGGACCTATACTAAATTCATTACAGGAGCCTCACCTGTCGATCCCTAAATTGGGACGGCAACTTAGGATTCGTGGAAGCATGGCCTGGTAGAGGCTCGGCACCGTCTCGAAGACCTTCGTTTCTACCGGCAAGTGAAACGCAGGAGTTGAGGAACCTTGAGGACATGGGAGTTTCCGAAAATAAGGGGTACCTTATTTGGGGGTCCTTATAATAAGGATCCTACTATTTAGGGTACTATATTAGGGTCCCCTATTTTCGGAAACCCCCACATGAGTTTTGATGAGGGACCCTGCGCACCCCACGAGTAGAGACGACCTTTCCGCCTTCCGCTGTCAACCTCTATCACATGGAAAAGACTGGAACGAACGGTGACACTGACAACGGCATCCTTCTGCTTCTGCATTCGGGGGTTGCTGGGCCAAGGCTGACCCAATCGGAAGAGCGCACCCTGTGTCGTGGTGTTATGGGTTACGAAACCCGGAACGCCACGTCCAGAAGAGCAGCAACTCAACACGCAAGGAAGGTAAGACTTCCATGGAAGAACATGCCTTGCGATGCCAGTTTCCGGTCATCGGACTGGTCGGCGTTGCGTTTCACTCCCGATCAACAGCACTCAAGATTGCAAATCGAGGCCAAGGCTGCCAGAATCGTGGAGATAATGATCAGGCCCATGATCACAACTTGAAGGACAGAAGCCTGATGCGAACCGACAAGAGCACAGGGGTGTCTGCAGGCATGAGACATGTTGATCAAGCATCTTGCAGTACAAGTACTGCTTGAACTTCGTCCTCTTGGAACATATAGCTCCTTGCAAAACCCACTCCTTCCACACCAAGTTGCCGCAGTGCTGCTCTCCGGGCGGTCGAGTAGTCTCCTGCACAACATCATCCGTTTGACTACTATGCAGTCCCGCATCCGCCGCCCACCCGTCACGGCCTAAACCCTGTGCCCAAAAATCACCTGTCTAGGGCCTAGGGCTGACCTTGGTGGAAGGAAGTACATGTGACACTACACCTAGTCTCGACAGCACAGGACTGAACCGAAGCAGGATGAACAAGAGGAAACAGAGAACAAACTGTGTACGACCATCCAGCGCCTGCTCCGGAGAACAGTAAGGAACACCCTGGAGCGAGCTGGAGATTTTTCGAGTACCCGCAGAGGAGGAGCAAGCTCGTTGCTAGGGCAGCTCTCCGGCGAAAAGCTTGAGATATACTATGCGGATGTCAAAATTTATAGCATTATAGAAAGCACGAACTACGAGTATCGCTGCACAACAAGCACTTCGCCACACGAGCGAACCCTACCTGTACAGTCTTGGCAGCGTCTTGCGGCCCGGTGGCCAGTCACACCAGGTCTGCACGGCGTGACACGCACAGTGCGACCCTGAAGCGTTCAGCGGCCTGGGGCCCTCTGCTGGGCACTCGGAACTCGGAGCCAGGGCTAAAGGCCTAAGGACATCGAACCCAGCTTTCGTGTTCCAGCTTGTAGGCCAGAACCAGCTGTTGGACTTTTCCTTGGGATGTCTATCTAAGCCAGCTTCTTCGACTCAGCGAACCCCGCAAAGACGGTGGGCATCAACGCACCTCAGCATGGGGCCCGGCTGAACAGATGCAGCTTTCGGTGCTTCTTAGTACTTTCTTGGCACACCATGGGGCTCAAGACAAAATCACATAACATATACCTCGACAGCACCCACAACTGCAATATGTAGAGGCGACAGTCACAACATGTTCGGGTCACCTGCTACTGACGACTGCATTGCACCGGTCGAAGATTTGCACCGAAGGCTCAGTCGGATTTCCCAGCACCGATGTCATTGTCCGACTTACCTTGAAAAACCTTAAGTCAGCTTACATGTCCCAGATCTGCTATTATGGTCCCAGTGGCGCACACGATCCACCTCTCCTGGATGTATGAGTTGGTCCAGCGGTTTGCGATGGAGAGTAGACGCCATGATTAGCATTGAGCCTTGGCGAACTCGGGGCTTGCTGGGCTTACGGGTGCGAGTGTGGCCGCGCGTTGCAGGCTTCCGGCATGGAACGTTACTAGCGTTTGCCGGGCAAAACTTTAAGACGAGGACGGTCCTTTCTGGGCCGAGTCGCGCTCCATCTTTTCGATGGGGTTTCTGTTCCTTGCAGGTCAGAAGACGGTGCAGAGATAATGCTTCAACTGCTGCAGGACAGGATTCGGATGTGAGTCCAAGAGACTGCTGCACCAAGGTATTGAGGATGGTCTCATCGAAGCAGTGTGTTGCCTCGGATGCGGTAACATATAGCTCACAACATACCTGCGGCGAAACTTCAGCGCTTCCGAGACGGAGGACCAGGAGGACCCTCTATTGAAGTGCGGCGGGCGGCGGCAACAACGATGTGCAAGGAAGACTCCAACGCCTTCGCTTTTCCAGCGCTTGGAAGAGGCAGGACCTAGCTCCTAGCTTGACCGTGTTTTCAACTTAGGTGTGGCTTTTCAATCTACTGTGCACTTATGCTTCTTGCGACCTGAACGATAAAGCACTGCGGAATGCGATGCTGCTAATCTGCTAATGAGCGAAAAACACTTCCAGCGGTTGGAATTTTGATTCTCCAGGCGGTTCTTGCATCACACGGTGACAGAATACCAAGTCGACCCCAATCGGAGAAACGCCGACGCGCTATATCAGCTTGGCCTACCGCAGAATCGCAACATCAAGCAACGAAACACACTCCAATCTCAAGCGGTCGCTACCGCTTGCCTCGGCGCCGGAGCGGCTGAGTGCATCGAGAAGATCAAAGGCCTCCCCGATGGTCGGCTTTTGTCTCTTTTCGAGCTTGGGGATAGGGGGTTAGGGCTCTCTGGCTGCTCCGAGAAATCGGGCCAGCTCCACAAAAGGGCAAGAGCAAGCGTAAATGTTCCGAAATCCTGCAGAGCATCATTTTCGGAATTCCGGCCTTGTTGGTCTCTGCCCGCTGGTCTGCTTCTCTCAGCCTCGGGAATCAACACCGCTTGGCAGACGGAGGCTGAGTTCAGAATTGTCCTCAAAGCTGAACGGACCACGCTGGTGGGCGCCCAGTGTTGCGGCTATCCACGACTTGGGGCTTTGCTTGTCGCAGGAAGAACCTGACCTACTGCCAATCACACAAGTGAAGCCGTGGAGCTGTCGGCTCCGCGAATCTCCGAGCAGGCCTGGCTGCTCCTGCTTGCCACTTCCGGCATCTTCGGCCACAGGACAGAGAGTGAAATCAAACGCAATGTCTCGCATCTCCCTCCTGCTTCGTCCACACAGTCGCTAGGTCGATCTTCGTCGGACGCAATCTCAGGACAAGTGTCAACTGCACCCGTCACGGATGTGCTGTTGGAACACCTAAACGGGTCGAGGCAAGCTGCACGGCATCAGAATCGAACTTCAGGTAATTTGCATCCAGCTGGTGCGGCAGCTGCGTGTAGTCGAAAGCTCCCGAATCTGCAGCCTGGAACGATGCGCATAATGACAGAGGAGAATAACAATCATGAGCATAAGAACAAGCGTGACGACAAATATGGAAGTCAATATTGGAAGACAAGAAGACTAATAGTAAACACACGAAAGCCATCACCGGAATCAGAATGATGCTAACAAATAACCATAAATGATCATAACATCGACCAAAGTAACACTGACAATGACAACAATAGTCAATTTCTACTACCTCGAGCTCACCCAGAAGTCCTAGAGTATCAGAGGGCCCTGCTAGCACCTCTGCAGCTTCTCGGGCTTGTGGTGGCGGAGGAGGTGAGGGCGAAGGGGCGTCCTGTTACGGCTCGTCGGTACGTGATGTTCGGCTTCAGGACTGTGCTTGCTTTCTGAATTTCTGCCAGATCTACATTCAAACGAATACAGCGGCGCTACTTGAATGCAGCACTCCGTTAGAGTCTCCTGTAATGGAGGCTGCTCCGAAGACGGCGCGTCTGCAGCCTTCATCCTTCAGAAAGTGGGGTCACTTAGCGGACCTAGCTGATACCCTGCGCGCATCTTCAACAGATTACGCCTGAGCTTCTGTCCTAGCACTCGCACTGAGCACCTGGGGAGACTCTGCCTCACGAGCAGGCCACGTTCCGTTGAAGTCTCAGCATCGATGGCTCGGAGGGAGCTTGAAGAATCAGACAGCGAAATCGCTCGGGCCTCCGGCGTGGCCGACCGAGACATGTAGAGAACCTGCTCCTGAATCTTCGCTTGTGTCGTAGAGAATGATTTCCCGGCAGTGATCATCATGTGGACTCACAAACAGCAACAGATAGCAGCAGTCTAGGTGAGCGCCGCCTTCTTGGGCATCCGGCCGCTCCGCGGTGAGGCACTCAGCTTCTGGCACGATGCCACAGTGCCACAGAAGCACTGCAACACTAGAAGCTGGCACACTCACCACGCTCAGTGCGCCCGTAGCCGCCGTAGCAGTTAGTCGTTTCGGTTTTTGCAACCGAATTAAGAGAACCCACCACTGAACGGCACTGCAGGTCACTCCTGAAGTGTCCTGGGCGGGTCGAAATCTCCCAACTCCTGCCAAGACTCCCGCATGACATCAAGCTTGGATCTTATAAGGGAAGCAAGGAAGACTCCGGTCAAATCGGTCTTGGCATGCAGCAAATGAGCATGGCGTCCTGATAGTTCGCATAATTCGTTGAGGGCATACCGAGCTCATCTGCACACGAGGCCGAGGCCGGGAAGAACTGCATGCGATTCGCATGACCGGCTGCTTTCACACCGTCGTACTCAGAAAGTGCACGATGAATCTAAGCTCTGTACCGTATATCGGATACCAAGCCTATCCCAAACTCCAGCGTACTCTCCGAGCCTGTACTCCTGCAATCTTCGGCGCCGCAAGACTGCATGTTTCGCATCTTCACCTCCTCCTGAGCTGCAAGTCTGCAAGTGCTGGGTTGTACTGGCAGGATGTGCTCCAATCAACCACTCTGCGATCAGCAACGGATGTCCTGCTTCTCTTGCAGCTGCTTCTGCTTTGACGCAGCAATGGTCTCCCACAGGGACTTCACGTGACTTTTGACCTTACTGGCTCATTCGCTCTGCGCACTGCAACGTCCTGGCTTGTGCTCATGTGCGAACCAGGCGAGCTTGGCTGCAGACCGCTGCAAGCTTGTCTGCCGCAGTGACTCGCGCGGCCTTTTCTGCCACCCCGGAGGACCAAGGCTCGTAGGACATCAGATCTGGAGCCACCTGTCAGCTCGCCAAGCCATCAGTAACTTAGACGTGGTACTTTGCCGTGTAAGTTGGTCTTGAGATGAAGCGGTCAACCGCCTTGGCCTGTAACATGACAGATTGAATAGCTGACCTGGTACCGCACGAAGAGCTCAATGAGATCTTGAGTAAGCTGTATCTCCTCGCATGGTAATGTTGCCACTTTGATGTCACTTTGTCACGAGTGCTTGCCTCATGAATCTTTCAAGTCAACACGAACATGGGCTCCTTCGTCAGAGAGTGCTCTGGAAGATTGAGCACCTGTACTGATGGACTGCCACACGCACCAGCAGCCAATGGCGCGCAATCACAGCGAATTTCAGCGTCTAGGACCCCAGGACTAGGCTCATGACCTTCTCCTTGGCTGCTCATCAGGTCTCCAGACTCCGGAACAAGAATCAGATTCTTAAGGCCATCTAAGGCTCCAAAGCCGGCTTGATCTGAACGATGGCCACAGCGAAGAGCGAGCTCGAGAGCTGCATCTTGCGGAAGGCTTTGGCGAAGCGCTGTTGCTCCGGCGAAAGGGACTGGATCCTTCGTCACGAAAACAATCGAAAACACACTGCATGGCAAGCCCGGTGTGAGCTCCGAAGGTGCCCTGACAAGCTAGTCCCTGGGGCAATTAAGATGCTTTCGCCGAATGTCGAGTCAAGGAATTCCTTTGGCGACGGTACGGTTTCCAGAAGCAGCGGTATGACCTCAGCACTACCCGGAACCGGATTGGGGGTATGTGTGTGCAAAAGGCAAGCCATGCGAAGCTTTCCGACTGCATGCGCAAACCGCGCGGCAACTGCCTGCTACTTTGCCAAGGTTCTTGCGCAGCCGCACCCCGAATGGCCAGATCATATCTTGCTGATCAGTTTAACGTCGAGCGATGAGGCGTGGGCCAATTCGTCTTTGTTCTGGATGATGAGCGCTGCTGCAGGCTTGAACGTGTCCTGAGCACTTGAAGTCCAGTTGTTGCTTGTGAGTACACGGCACTGGTAAAGTGGAGATGTTGGGCCATCGCAACATTATCTTGTACAGTCAGCATGTTCAGGCAGAGTAAGCTCGCAAGTGATTGCTGACCTCAGAAGGAACTTTGTCCTGTGGCCATGCTGGGTTGCACTCTTTAGAGCTCCGTGTTGGTAGGGCGCTGTCGCTTCAGTTTTATAAAACCCATCGCATCGAAGACCACTCGAGCGGCAAGCAGTGATGTCACCTGTGCCGGGTCGTAGGGCGGGGCAACCTCCACCAAGTCCAGGCCAGCAACATCGGAGGCTCGGAACAGGATGATCTCTCTCAGAAGGTCCTTCACCTCGTAGTAGCTGAAACCCCCGTGGCTGGGAGTGCCAGTGCCCGGTGCTATGGATGGATCGAAACCGTCAATGTCAATGCTGAAATAGACAAGCGCCCCGGAAGGCACCAAGCTTGCAACATCCTTAACTCCTAGCTCTCGCACCTTTCTCACACTGAGAATGGTGGAGCCCATGCGATGTGCATCTTCGAAGCTGCTCTTTGCTGTGGAACTCACGCTGCGAATTCCAAGCTGCAGCATCGCACTGATGTGCGGCATCTCCAGACACCGCCTCATGCAGTTGCCATGACCGTAGCGCACCCCATGCCGCTCGTCGACAAAATCCAAGTGGGCATCAATCTGCACTAGAAAAACTGGCTTGGATAAGGAGGATAGAGCAGAACACACGGGCGCAGTGGTTGCATGATCGCCGCCTAGAATGAAGGGAGTCACGCCAGCCCGAAGGATTAGCTCCACGGCATCGCGGGTGCGGTTCAGAGACAGATGCTGGTCCGTGTGTACAATGTCGACATCACCGATATCGATGACATCTCCATACTGGTACGTCTCACCAGTATCTGCGTCATAGACCTCTGCGTGGCCGAACTGGTATAAGGTTGAGGCTTCCCGAATACCCCTGGGGCCCATGCGAGCTCCGGATCTGTATTGGGTCCCCATGTCATTCGGAACTCCGAGCACAGCGAAGTCAGGTCTAGCACTGCGTTCACCACCCGCAGAACGCAGCAATGGCCCGTTCAAGTCCCCAGGCTGAAACTTCCCAAACGTCGTGTGTCCAACGAAAGGAAGGTTGAGGCTTCCTTGAACATATGCTCCGTCATCGGCATTGCCCCAACTGCATAGAAGCAAGCTGGAAGCAATCACCAGACTCAAGACAGACTGGCTGCCCATGGACACAGGGTCCTAGACTGTGAAAGTACTCTGCACAAGTAAGCTCCACTACTGCTTGAACATGCCAATCATTCGCAGGAAGTAGATCAACCACATGTCGAACAATTCATCAACTTCTTCAATTCTCCGTAGCTCGCAACTCCTGACTTGGAGATACTTGGAGTTGCTCGGAACTGCAAAGGTTGTTTTGCAGAGCAAAAGAAATCGGAAATCGCCAAGTAGTCTCCCGAGACGGCACCTGATGCTTCCCTTCAACATCGTAACGCCAAGCATCCGAAGAGATGATCTTCCCAACGACCAAAACGAAGCAGCTCAGCTGCCGTGCCCTCGCAACGAGTCTCAGGTCCTGCACATACTGTGAGAGCACGACCACTGCAGAAATACATTTCCGAGCGAGGTCCTGCTCCTTCTGCCTGGCAAACTGGTGGAAGACTGCAGCATGCACAAAGTGCTCGCCTGCAGGCCCCAGTGCCACACATGCCGGAAGCAATGCGGAAATGCTCCCAAACGGGATTACACCTCTCATAAGCTTTGCAAGGTCTGAGAAGTCTGCCTCGTACAAGAAAACAGATGATGTCACAACCCTTTGCCTGTGAACGAGATCGTCGCTGCAGAACTCAATTGCATTCCTCGGCATCGGAATTCCCCAAAGACTTAGATTAATCGCACAAGCACGACGGTTCTGCCAAAACACGTGCAGGGATGAGATTTGGCTATGGTAAGCTAGGTGGCGCATGAATGGGGCAGCTTCACGGTGCAAGCCGAAGGTGGAAATAGCCTGCATCATGCACGGCGGCGGTACTCTCTAGGCTTTTGTAGCAAATAGTTCCGGCTGAATGCCTGCAGCGGGGGGCAGGGTGGCTTCTACAATGGGAGCAGTGGCACTGGCAGATCAAACGACATGAGTATCACACAAACTACAAAACGAGTCGGCTGACTGAATCGAGTCCCGAAACCTTCAACTCCAAATCAACACACTCCCAAACCCTGCCCTTAACCCACACAATTCTGCACCCCCAAACGTTCCTCAACATCGAAACTCCGCAACCCTGAGCCCTAAATGTGAGCAGAAGGGCCAGCATATGCGAGGAAGAATCATGATCCTCAGCCCCTCGCACTGTTTGCCGATGTTCCTCTACGTGTTTTCCTACTGCTGTGGTTATGGGACTTAGCAACTGAGACATTTGGCTGTGCACCCCAAACCGTGCACTCTGACCGGCTGTACAAAGCCACCCGCCTGGTGAGAATTCTCATGGGACACCTCGATGCTCACGGTTCCTTCCTCAGGACAGAAGACTCGGGACCCAGGGTCCAGCTCAAGGAGATAAATGCTTCATCTTGCGTTCAACAGAGGTCCTGGCCGGATGATGCTGTGCTCGTCGCACAGCAAACACGAAAGGACTCGGCTTGTATGCTGGACCTGCCATAGTGCTTCGGTTTTGGTTGTGTTGTAGAAGGTAGCCGAGGACTCATCGTGCAGGTGCTGTCTCTAACTCCCGGAGTTCTTGGATCGCACTTGCTTGCGCTTCGGACTTGAACTGAGGAGCGCAAGAGCTCGCCCGTGTGGAATTCCATGTACTCGCCTCGCACAGATCGGAAGATAGCGCAAGGAGTCCTTGAGAACCAAATTGGGCGTGGGGCCAAGCAACTGCTGGGATACTAGACCCTACTTTCCTAGGTCGCATGGGGCACCGCCTTAGAGTCTTGAACAGAAGCAAAGGTGCCGAAGTCGACGGGCTGCAGCGTCTTCCCTATGGCAGCAGTGAGCTGCTCCTGCAGCATGCCTCAACGAGAGCAATGCATCTTCCACTACCATACTCCGTTGTGGAACAAGCCTCAGGTGCCGGACTCGAGTACCAAATGAAACTTCTGTGATTCGATGTTGCGAGTTTTCCATACTAAATCTTTTTCACCGCCCAACACAGTGCAGCATGATGTGTAATCCAAGATCGCAGACACGTTCCTTGCAACGTCTTCTTGCGGGAAGAGGCTACGTTCCAGTTCTCTGACAGCGGAGGTCATCTGTCGAGCCAGACTGGCCATCTCCTCGGCTGCATCGCCGGCTCTCTTTGCAAAGTCTTTGCAGCTGAAGTCCACTGCGCTGTCTTGCACCCGGGCATCCTGTACAACGATGAGAAGGCTAATCAACGAGGGCTTCAAGTCAACGCCATTGGTATCTGCGATCCTGGCAAGAGCTGGCACTGTAGATCCAGCAACCGCACGGTAGTTGCTGGAAGGTCAGAGCATACTATGGTACTCACGCATGTACTCACTGTCACTTTGGCAACCCAAACCAACTGAGGATATGTGTGGGCGTGGGCACACCGTGTCTACACGGCGAATGTAGACGGCTGGACGGTGCAAGCCTTGCTTCCTCTGAAGCAGGCATGTGAAGCTCAAGATACTTTCGACATGAAAGCATGGCATATTTTCGTATGACAGCTGCAAGGCACCCTGTCCTCCCCAAGAGCTGGTTCTGGCTCTCGCGATGAGCCAACAGGCCACGTCGGTGTGCGCTCAGGACCACATCCATGTCTGCCTCACACTGACAAAGAAGCAGGCTTCTCCGACGCCTTTTGAAGCAGAGCGCGTCTGGAGAAAAGGCGTCCGAACAACTTGTACATCACATGCCAAGCTGCTGCCAACACGGGTCGTGAGGCCTCAAACGGTCTCGACATGTTTGAGGAATCATGTCGGTTCTACAACAGGCTTTCAAGAGCTGGAAGCTCCCCACCGAAACACTGCTTCAACTTTCTGTGAATGCACTGCGCAGCCCCAAGCCGGAATCTGCCGTCACACCCTCACTTCCAGGTCATGGGGTACTTCTTCGTGCAAGAGGCTGTAGTGGAGCCGTCCAGCGCGAACATGGCCAGCACGGGCTGGAACATTTTGCCTTCAAGTTACTTTTTCACGTTCCTGGCCTTCTCTAGATGAGTTGTGTCCGTTAATTCGAAGCTTTGGGAATTCGGGAAAAAAAAGTGAAGTCCCATGAAGAAGCGCTCACAATCCCTCTTGCCGGGGTGACGACTTGGGAGGTGCCCAGCCTGGCTTGGCCACGCCGGGCGTATCTCCACCCAGAAGAGTGCCTGGCACAGGACATGCAGCGGAGCAGAGCGTGGTCCCGACTCTGTGCTCAAGTTCATCTTCCATGGTGGGCCATGTCTCTACAGCTCTGTGGAGCAGTCGCACTTGATCTCGCCATGTGCAAGGACACTCCCCTGACGAATTCGGCACACTCTAGTGATCATCGATGTTCAACTTTGCAGCCGGAGCCTAGCTGGCCGATCAAGATGTTCGCAGCTGAATCTCCCAGGACGTGCACTTTGTTGAAGAAGCTCAAAGCTGCCTGCCGATCGCGACGGGAATCATGAGTCTGTTCGTCTGTCCTTGCAGCATGACTGCAAGAAACCTTTGGTTCAAGCAGGGCTGAGAGATTTCAGCCGTTGGGTTCTGGGTCCTTGGTGTGACGACATCATCAACCTAACCATCACCAAAGCCATCCAAGCAGCCGTGCCTGCATGTCCTTGTTCCGTGCTGGAGTGCGGCAGTCAGGTGCAGTGCGGTTGACGGTGAAGTCAACTGCCCCAGCTCGTAGCCTGTATGCAGACAGGCAATCCCACAACTCCCTATTGCAGTGAGAACGGGAAGCACAAGTAGAACACGGCTCATGTCTGGAGCTGGCAGGACATCCCCTCCGACATGCGAATGCATGCTCCAAGCAGACTACACAGGGACGGCTCAAACTTCGCCTGCGAGCCAACCAAGTCATGTCGAGCTCGAGCCTCGCTGAAAGGCTTCCTTTTGGATTCGATCCGATTCTGTATTGGCTTGCAGCTGATCGCCGTACAGAGCCAGAGTCTAGATCAGAGCCATGTGTCGTCGGTGCACACTCCGCTGTCGGACGTGGCTGCTGTGGCTTCGCAGGAGGTGTCCTCAGTTGTGACTTCTTCCTTCCTCTGGCAGCAGCACCACTACCGACACGGAGCAGAAGGGCAACAAACGCCAAGACAGGGACGACCGTTCGCGCGCGAACAGATACAATGCCACCGTCGCAAGCTGTGCCGAACTCATGTCGGCAGCTCGCTAGGTATGGACACAACCCAACACTTCAAACTTGAGGGAAGCATAAGCTTCGGAGCATGCATGTGTTTCAGTGCGGCTCTAGGGGGTGGCAGCCACTCCTTCCGTTCAGCTGCAGCAAAACCAAAGGCATCAGAGCAATAGCAACCCACTACGAGTAGCCAAGAAGCGTCATGGTCTTCAGCGTGGTTCCTCTTCGCAGGACATGACATGTGTAAACATCCGGCAAGCCCAGAAACGAAATCAGTCCTCCAGAGCCACTCAGCAGAGGAAAGCCTCGGAAGAAACTGAGGACTGCTCCAGTGCCACGTTTCGGGTGGCGCGGATGAAGAAGCATGTAGCGCTGCCTCCGGACCTCTCCGTTGCCAGGCCAAGGAGCTCTGATTTGACCCTGCGGTCGTCACGTAAAGGCGCCATGTCGCTGTCCAGTTCCAGAGATGCTCCTGCACCTGAAGGGAGGATCAGAAGCAGGTCTCAGCTTGGCTTTGGGACAACGGCTGGTCTTGGCGAGGAAGACAACAACATGCCGCACCTTCAAAAGATGAGTGGGGGTTGGAAACACTGACGGAACCAATGCAGCAGACATTCATTTGTCAGTGCACGTCTTGTTGCTTCTTGACCCAGTTAGTACGTAGTATGGTACAATCTAGTTAGATGAAGTGTATGTAAATAAAGTACAATATAGTATCTGAACAAAGTATTATGAAGCATAACATAGTACAACATAGTAGAACACAGTAGAAGATAGTACAACATGAACTAAATGACATAGTAATAATAATAATAGTAATAATAAGAATAGTAATAAAAAAATCATAATAATAGTAATAATATACTCCTTGGGGTTCCATGTTCGGCCTCGGTCTTGGTCTTCACTTTCGTCTTCCAAGAGCCCAGGATCCCTTCCGTCTCCTCGATTTTGGCCGAACCGACCTGGCGAGCTGACCATGGTGGCGAGAAAAGCCCTATTAAAGCCTACAGTTTAGGGCTTTAGGGTTTAGGGTTTAGGGACCCTAAACCCTAAACGCTGCAGTTTAGGGCTTTAGGGTTTTAGGGTTTTAGGTTTAGGGTCCCCAAAAACTCTAAACCCTACACCCCAAACCCTAGAAGCATGCCATTTCACGTGGAGAGTTGAGACGTGTTGAAGCGAAAGTCACCTGCCGACCACCACCACCATCGGACAAAGCGTCTCGTGGTGAATTCGGGCTGTGCTTGATGCACCTTTGCCCCAAAATCTTGTCGCGATAATTCCTCGAACCTGTTCGAAGCTGTACAGCAACCGCGAGCCTCCAGTCAATTGAGGTGCGCTATTGCGGAATGAACCGTACCCGCCTGAATCTCCTTGTCCACCGTCTGTTTGAGCTCGCAGAACTGACAGGAGGAGAAGACAAGCAACGGCGCTCCTGCTTCGCGAGGGGCAGAGGAGAAGTCGAACGTGGCCCAGGAATGGATGCAGCAGGTCGCTGCTGTTCGCAACTAGAGCTGCAAAAAAGAACGGCTTCTCACTCGAGGTGGGCAGCACTCCTGTGGCCCACTTCGGAAGCGCCTGGCCAGAGAAGCCCGGCCAGGTGTCGTCAAGGAGAGTGCTGAAGAGCTGGACCTTGCTCAAATTCGCAGCCCCGTGGATCTGAAAAGAGACAGACACATAGCAGGAACACAGAGAGCTGCATTTGGCTCACAGGCCGTACAGTATGAGTTACACATCTTGAGCTTGCCTTGGCTAAAAGCTGACAACAAAAACACTGCGGAATCAGAGTCGCTCCCTAGTCCTTCCTTTGTCTCAAGCTCCGGGAACCGTCAGCCTCGGGCCTTGGACCTCAGCCACGCGAGGCTCTCTGGACCCAGGCACCAGCCCGGCCGTGGCGGCTTTTGTTGCCAACTCGGACAGCCTCGAGCACGTAGAGATTTCTTCGGCTTTACGTGTTTGAGGCTTGGAGGATTGGGCAGTTCAGGGATGTTTTCAGAAGCTCAACGAGCCAAGACTGAACTTGGAAGCCACGAGCTCATGCATGAACCTCGAGGACTGCATATATGCAGACTCCACGACTGAAGACCTAAATCCTGAAGCCTCCCGAACTTCGACCTTTCACAACTTGGCCCCCCGGCAGGTACTTGTCCTGGACGGAAAGGATTAGATTGGGGTAGCACCCGGCACGCACAGGCTGGCTATGAAGCGAAAGTAGCTTGTTCAGGAGTGGCTGTTGTAGCAGAAGGCTTGAATGCTCAATTTCGAGCCTCCAATGTGAAATCTAACCTCAAGAGGTAAATCAAACGGCCCTACTTCACCTTCTAGACGAGAGCTTCAGGTTTCAGGTCCTCGCAGCAGCACCAGCAGCACCAGCAAGAGAAGCACAGTAGCGTAGCAGCAGCAGCATAAGCAGCAACAGCAGCAGTAGCAGTAGCAGCAGTAGCAGCAATGGTAGAAGTAGTGGTTGCTGCTGCAGTCGAAAGAGGCATTGCAGTAGTTGTGGTAGTAGTCCTCGTCGTAGTAGAAGTAGTAATAGTAGTAGTAGTAGTAGTAGTAGTAGTAGTAGTAGTAGTACTAGTACTAGTACTAGTACTAGTACTAGTAGTAGTAGTCGTGGTGGTGGTGGTAGTAGTAGTAGTGGCAGTGGCAGTGGCAGTGGCAGTTGTAGTAGTGGTAGTTGGTAGTAGTAGTAGTAGTAGTAGTAGTAGTAGTAGTAGCAGCAGTAGAAGTAATACATGTCGCCGTAGCAGTAGCAGAGGAATAGGAGCAAGAGTAGGAGCAGGAGCAGGAGTCACGGGAGTCGAATCGCATCGTAGTCGTAGAAGTCGTAATCGTAGCCATAGTCGCAGAGCAGCAGTGTTTGTCATTGTTTTTCAGTGCGATTACAACCTTTACACTACGAACCGGTAACTACAGCTGCTGCCACAACAGTGTTTCCTTTCATTGTTATGATTGGTGCAACTACATAACAGACTACGTTGTACTACAGCACACGGTCCTGTGTATGTGTATATATATATGATATATGATATATGATATATGATATATGTTATATGATATATGATATATACATATATATATATATATATATATATATATATATTTATAGGGGTAGATAGGTAGGTAGGTAGATAGGTAGATAGATAGTTAGAGTACAACAGTTGAACACTACTGTATACTGTATGCTGCAGTACAATGTTGCAATGTAGCATCTTGTCCGGTATGCTGTGGCCATGACAAGGCCTTCTTCTGGAGCCAAGTCCAAGTCCTGAGTGTTTGTCCGAAGGACACGCAGCAGGTCCTGTCAAAGGGCTGGTCAGACAAACCGATCGACCCAAGTCCCAGTCTTTCGCTTGGGTGTGGTGAAGGGATCAAAGCACAGAAACGTGGTTAAAGACCCGAGCATTGGTGAAGGACATGCTGTCCATTGGACCGTTTACAGATGTCATGTATCTGTACCCGAGCACAGATCCACACAGCTTACACAGGATCCCTTCCCAAACCTTCAGGTCGCCTTTGTGCACATGTTGTTGACATGTAAACCGTAAACCAGAGATCTGTCCGTCAGCGTCGTCAAAGCAATGAGCGCGTGGTGCGACTGGCCCCCTTTGACACTGCTTCGTGCCGAGTGTAGCTACTTGGAGGATCATGGGACTTAGTAAGTAAGGTTATAAGTCCCCTGATTGGGGTTATAAGTATAGTTACCTTAGTTATATCCCTACTTACTAAGTCCCCTGATCCTTTAAGTATTGTCTCTACGACATCGAGAAGCACAGTTACTTCGATGGTTCTCCTTTCTGCTCATACCAGCATCCTGGTACTACTTACTCTGACGTCTCATCTTACAACGGTGCCGACAATACTAAATTCTACGGCCATTTCTACTGCTGCTGCTGCCGCTCCTGCTGCTGCT